GTAGCATAAGACTATTGCTAGAATAATAATGATAATGATAGTAATGAAAACATGCCCTCCACGAAAAGTTGAAAGTACATATCACTTTCCTTTAGTTAAGCGGTAATGTCCAGCTAAGACCAAAGGGTCATTAGTTCGAGTCTCAGTGGGGGCAGGATATTTTTAATTACTCCTTCATATCACACTTTGTCCCCCATCTATTCAATCGCAAAAGGGTTGAAATGGTTTTATAAAAATGTAAGACGTACAAAATTTATATGCGGAGATGAAGAGTGTCTAACTTTGTGAAACTTCGGATGTTCCTCGGTTTATCGATCGGGGAAGAGGTGTAACAAGGCTTATCTATTCATATTGCGGATGCTCCCATGGTGAGGGTCACCCGTTTGTTGACCCTAGTGTTCTTACGGATGTAGCGACACCTAGCAGTGTACCGGAGCTTTCAGGGTCAGTATGGTGAACAAACACAGACACACCTGCTGAACTCTGTGTGTATTGTTTGAATCTTTTATTTCACCGTGTCATCGTCGGGGGGAATACTTCAAATGTTTACCACTGTTGTAACAGTAACCATTTGTGTCCACACTGATTGTAAAACAGCTATTTACACGTTATAATAGATATTTTAAACGCAATCTTCTCTGTAATGTGCAGTTCAATTGAACCTACGCAATCGGTATCAGGTACATTATGAAATTATCTCACGAGTAAGATTTTAAAGTACACCAATTAAAGGGATTAACTATTACCTGTGATATGTCGACCAAATACAACGATCACCTATTTATTCTCACCTATATTATCTGCTGACGTGCTAACAGTAGACGCAATAGCATCGTATCAAGAATTAGGTTATATATGGCAGGACACTATGTTGTGTATCCGATAGTAAGCCCATGTCTGGCGACATCAACACATATATTGCCATTTCAGTAAACATGAACAAAAAAGTTACGTGTTGCCATTCAATAAGCCGATATATCTATTTCGGACTAGACATTGTTCCCTCAGCAGTATCCATAGTTAGGTATTGGTTGTAATAATGATATATGGTCGTATCTCATCTGTGCCCGGTGGCAACGAGTAGAGAATAGCATTAACCGTGTGTAGGTAATTGTGTTTCTGTCTTAATAAGTAATGGTGTTATCATCATACCTGTAAACTTACGCCAATGAAGAAACCGTATATCTCAAAAGTGAGTTTTATATATTTAATTTCTGCAATTACGAAACTGAAGTGTCGTATTTCGCGTACTATTGCATAATCCCTTGGTTATGTTAAATGTCTTAGTTTTATAACTTCGCTCTGAGGCGATTAACGTTGTTTAAAATTCGTCTTCGCCAATAAACTTTTTTTTTTACTTTTTGAAAGGTCATAAAAACAAACGGCACGACGGGTTGTCGTTTGAGAATGTAATTAAAGTTCTGATGACGTCACAGAATCCGCATGTAATCAAACACCTGAATACACAGGGAATTCTTTCCATTTGTATCAGGATGGCGACAAACACTTAGCTGTTTGTGAACAGAGTTACTTTACAATTAATAACTATATTAATATATAAAGCAATTTCCTGTCTGGAAACACTGTGCCATTCTTCGGAGTAACATTCTCAATTTAAAGAAAAAAAGTAATAGAAAATGAAAAAAATTGAATATATGCACGTTTAACAGTTGAAAATTTTAAAATAAATGTGGACATTGGTACTGATTAAAGGTTATTGTAAGCAGTAATGCTACTGGTGTTATGTCGCTGTGAGCAGATTAATTGCTTCAGGAGTCCATTTTAGGACGTGTTGTTGTATCTAAAAAAGAACATTTCGGACTACTTTTCTGGTGCCGTACACCAATGGACGTATTCTGTAAGACCCCTTGTCGGTTTAATGGTGAGAGTATTAGCATAATTATATAACTTCAAAAAAACCTTTCAAGGCAAATTTGATAAGATTTTAAAATTACCAGGTCTCCATCAAAACCATTGATTGCTTGACTGAATGTATATGACACCAAATGTCATCATGAGGATTACAGCCATTTTTTCATGCCTAAGTTTCTGGGTAGATCGGATTGACAGTAAGAATATGCACTGTCTCTTTCGTATAAAAGCAATACTTATCCCATTCAACAGCAAACATACATAGACGTACTGCAGTGTAGGATCGATTAGTGTCAAAAATCAACAAACTACTGGAAGCTTGTACAAAATACACTCAACAGAACAGAACATTTTTATAAAGGTTTAGGTACAGTTGAAACACATTTTAAATTTAACTGCATCATGCCTCTGTTTAGCCCTTTCAGGACTCGTCAGAAATGCATAGGGTCTAAATTTTGAAATGTGTAAGGCGATTGAGGAAAGTCTGTTACAAAGTCTAGACGGGGAGGAGCACTAGCCCCGGTACTAAATAACTTTTCATATATACCTGATAAGTTCAGGACGTCAAGTGCAGGTGTATCTGCCCTAATATGTTATGGCTCCATAATTGTACATTTTGTACATTTATATAGGTTGTACATTCTGAACTGGTATAGATACTATATTTTGTAAACTGAATACATATGGGAAAAGTTACATTTCTATACTTTTAATATCTACAATTACGAAATAGAATAAGGTATCGTTTTTTGCGAGTTAATCACTTGATCATGTTTAATGCCTTAGTTCTATAACAACACACTGAAACATTTAACTGTGTTTAGAATTTGTCTCTACGAACGTCAGGGCCATGGGTTACTGACACTGCAAATACGGACAAATAAGAAGCGTATATAGATCCCCCCCCCCCTCTCTCTCTCTCTCTCTCTCTCTGGGTGTTTGTTTGTTGTGAGGGTGTGTGTGTGTTCGTTAGGGGGCGTGGGTTGGTATGTATGTTTATATATATATATATATATATATATATACACTGCAGATGAATTTTTAAACCGATACACGAATGATATAATGCTCGTGGCAATTATGAATAGTGGTGAGAGGAAGTGTGTGTCATGTTTTCTTGTCTATGTTTGTATTTATGTGAAAATTTCCAAAAATAAACAAATACAAAAAAAAGAAGCGTATAAAGTAAACATTATTTCGTGGTTTTTAACCATATATCCCACTTCAGTGATGTAAACAACCCTTCTTGGTGCCACCATTTGTAATCATATTACTAATATCAATAACCGGTGTTATCAAGAGATAATAAACACTGCAAACGGTAATCAGCCATTTTGGCGTCACCATTGATGGGGTTCAAACTCTTGATATTGGTAGAAATTCTCAAGTCCCCCTACCTGGTAGAGTATTAAGTATATATATCTGATATTTTCAACACTCATATACTGAACGTGAAAGGGATGGCACTAAATCCCTGTAATTGCTGTCAACAGTAATTTTGTACAGCATTTAGTAATTGTTTCGTGACGTCACCAGTTGAAGGTGCTCCATCACCAGAGCAGCGTAAGCATGGTTACGGGTTGATATGTTTTCTCAATATATTTGTATATTATGTAACACAGCTGAAACAATTGTTATATACAATATACTCATCTCATTTCCCTATAACTTGCACTTACTGGATTAAATTTCAGAAGTTTTATACACACCTGTGCCACACCCGCTGCGAAGATCCCCGGTATCTTGTCCAGGTATGTCTTCCTAGCTACTAGTGGAAAAGGATACACCAGCGGAGATAAGCCCGGTAGCCCGGCACAAGTATTTCTGGTCGAGTGTTATCGCGCCCCACTATACAGTATAGTAATACCAACCTGTCAACGCTAGATCCCAATGTTTATACTAGAATGGGCAACTCGAATATGATTAAATATATGTACATATAAATCGAGAGAGAATTTAAAGACATTAATGGATATACGTTTTAAACTCAGATGTAGCCACCGAGTCGAGATCACCAGTAAAAGTGACAGAATCCATTCGTTTTCTCCGGGATCAATTTTTATCCACCTTCACGGCCGAGTAGAACCACGCACCATGAAATAGTGAAATAAAGCACCAGCTTATAAGACAGATTATTGCAATGATAGATTTGATAAAGATATAGATTAACTGTTTAAATCATAGGGTTTATCTACATTTAGATAAAAGCCATGAGAGATATTTGGTCTTCCCGACAGACAATAAATACATGTTTTCTGAACGTCGGACTGGTATTATCTTGGTTCATGGTTCGTGACGTGTTCGTCATCATGCTTATTCTACTGGCGCATCTTGATACTTCTTCAGTTGGACTTAATGGTTGCGCACTGGGATTGTTAAAATATATGTTGTATTTACACAAAACGGGATATCTTGGGTGGATCTAAAATAGTTAAGGGAAGGTGCCTCAACTGTATTGTTTGGTAAATAAACGTCGAGATGGTGTTACATCTTATCCAACTGGTGACATACAAACACTATTTCTATATGTGTTTTTTGTTTTTGTTTTGTTTTTTTTGTGATAGATCTCGTTATATATTCACGGATGTCAAGACAAATGTTATCAAAATACCCAAAATGAGTGTAGAGAGAGATGTTTTTTCTTCATAAATCTCGCAGTGATATATCAAAATATTCCACAATCTCCAAAGCAATCCTTCTGTTCAAAGATAGCACTATCGATAATGAATGATTCGACATAAAGATATGATCGTCGCACTGTCTTCTTAATGGCATTTATAGTCGTTATAAATCACACAGTAGGTAAACATTGATAAAGAGATGATGTTATAGTGGTTCCTTCACTTCACTCCAGTTTTACAGACATGGGTGCCGAGAATATCACACTCGGATCGGGTGTATCTGTCATAGCAAGTTTACTATCTCTGTCTAGACTCGAAATACGGTTTAAAATATCTAATGAGGCAGGACGAGAATTGTTTAGTCAGGAAATCCTTGACAAGTCACGGACCCAATGCAAAATTAACTTTCACAGAAAACGCATTTGAAGTTACAAGATTTCTTCGACAAGTGAATATAAAGAAGAAATTTTAATTACACTGAAGGGTGCCCAGAAATAAATGAAATAATGCAACTATAAATGATTTATTACATCAGTCATAACAAAATCAATGGACAACGGTAAAATAACTTGAGAAGAGTTCTTCCCCTTGTTCAATCTTCCTCAACGACACAAGAACGACAACTCTTGTCAACCTGTAGAAAACAAAAAACCTGTTACTTTTTAGAAATGATAAACCAAACCAAACTAAACTATTGATTAATAGAGCGAAAATCATCCTTAATAAAAGCTAAATCTGTATTACAACTACAATGATTGACAGTGATTGTTAGAGGGCAAAAAAAAATCTTTTTACAATGCACGAATCTACTGTAATCTTCAGAAATAATTTTTAAATGTATAAGTGCTATCTATTGTCACATTATGCATTTTTTTTTAAATTTCTCTCCACAAAAGCTATAGAACCTCACCTGTGGTGCCCCAGACTATCCTGTATTGATGAGGTATAGTTGATGTTGGGGATATATTTCCTCAGGTGGAAGGGAAACTCCATAGGGATGTCAAACTCCTGATAGGCTACATTAGCAGGGAACTCTGAAATGTAGGAGTTTTTATCATCAATTCACCATAAATTTAAATCATTCATCAGTGTTCCTGCTATGATTTGTAGAGGGCTGGACACTGACCCCAAAAAAAGCATATGTTAAAGCATGAAATTGATATTAAATGGCATTTCTGAATGGCATGCTACAGTCGAACAAAACATATGTACAACAATACATGTCACTGGTGTCCATATGACATGTAATCAACAAATTGTAAATAATATTTTTTACCTAAAACAAAATTTTTGAACAGCTGATAATCATTCACCTAGTATGAGACGACTTGAGTTAACAATTTTAGAAATAGAAATGTATGCAGTAAGAAAATTGCTTTCTCCTTGCACATATACCTACGTTTTGATTGGTTGTTTACATATTGTCCAACAGCCAATGGATTGACAGGATTTTGTGTGACCCAGGTCAGGTCACAAGTTAAGTAGGGTCCATGTCTGTCTCTCTGACCACACGACCTTAAATGTATGAATTATAGTCATGATATTAAATGTGCAAAATCATTACTTAAAATGACCAGACAGAATCACTCAACACTTTGATACTGTCAACAATTTACAACGATGTGAACTTTAATGGCCATAGATGATCTTATTGCTAATACTTTTAAATCAAACTTAGACTCTTCCCAATAAATGCATACATATAAATGGCCAATGACATTTTCATCTTTTTACATAGTATCACATAATTGATTAATACATAAGCAAGTTTGTTCATTACTGTATTTCTCCCGCAATAAGCCAAGAAGTCCATACATATTCCAGGTCAGGGGTATGCTTACTACAGGATCATGAAATAGTATTTGTTATATATTCTACAGATGAGCAATTTATATTGGTGGGCTTATTGCCAGACATGGGCTTATTGTGGGATACTTATGGTATATGCTGTTACTGGGTAAAATGATGTTTGCAAAGAAAATCTTCTCAATAAGTATATTCTTAAGCTATGCATTGTACACAATGAACAGATTTCTATATTCTTACAGTAAAGTTATACACTACGACTGAATTTTTTGACATTTGCTTTTATATACTGACTTATAAATGTATTTAGAAATGTTCTTATCATTTCCATCGATGAGGACTCTATCAATACAGCGAAATATGAATGGGTTAGCCAGGCTCTGTAATAAGATTGGTTCCCCAGCTCTATATAATGTTCCTGGGTACATGGACACCACTGTTCCTTCGGGCACTTGACCTTTGGTCACTAACACACCTGTTCCACCCCCAGGTATTATGCTTGGTTTTCTTTCTATAACAAAACCAACACAATTCTCCATCACTCTCAGGTTATTTTTGTGATGTATATACTGTTCCTCTTTGGTGAGTTGATGTGACTTCCATAACTCTGAGGTCTTAACAGATGAAGATCTCTCATTTTCAATATTTTCAAAAAAGTTCACCAGGAATTTCTCTACTTCTACATCAGGTAGTATTTGATCGTTTTCATTGGGAGCGACTGATCTCATCCTCCTGTAAAAAAAAGACAGATAAATATTACCAACTAAGACCCTTTCTAAACAAACTGTATACAGACATTATACAAAAATAATTTTGAAGAAGGTCTCTTGGTTCTAGAGAAGTTGCCCAAATAAATTAAGACATTTTACCATCGATGCTTAGAATAGTAATTCAATATCATTTATTTGAACCTTAAACTGCTACAAACACAATATCATGACCATGTGCCTATTCATTATTGCTAATAATCGCCTCTAATTGTCTTGAAAGTGGGTCAAGGACATTTATTTAAACAAACTCGATATACATTCATCACGGTAAAAGCCTTCAGAGTCTCTAGATTATTGAAGATAAGTAGTGAAAATGGACAGCTGTACATGTCGGACGGACGTTGTGCTGCAGCATTTGGCCTAGCTCACCTGCGCTCCTAGCAGACGAGCACGCCGATTATTCCGAGACTTACCAGCCAACTAAATGCATTGTCGTCTCCTGTGCGTATGCCAGAGTTACCTTACCTGTCTTTTAGATTAAGTGCAATCCATGGTACCAAACGGTATCTGTATTGTTTCCATTTATTTCGCAGAGTTTTCAAGATCATTGCTTTCCTATTTTATCATGTTTGGTGTTTATAAATCGTGGGCGCATCCATCTTGGTATCCCGCAGAGAAGCCGTTTGCTCATTGGCTGAATTTGGGGATTCCTACATCCGGTTGGACTGGGATTGCCTCAGAGTGCACACGACTATTATGAGGATTATTTGAAAATAATAATTTTTATTGTTTAAGATGCCAAGCGAAAGTGACAAGAAGGACGAACTAAGAGAAGAAATAGAGAGTTTCACTGGTGAACTCAAACAAGGGTAAATGGCAGTATACACACCGAAGTCACATACGTTGCAGTTGTACCAAGTGCCAGTGGCAATATAACTGTTAAATATGGATTTTTTTATATAGGCCTAGAGAAGACTGGTCTAGTATATTATTTGGCATTGTAACTGAAGGAATGTGCTATTGAAAGATCAATATTCTGCACGAAGATTAGACATATTTATTTTGATATCTATCAGTTCATTGATTGCATCATGTAGTGTAGATTACCACAAGTTATGCACTATAAAAGAAACGCCACTGCAATATTTCATCAAAGTATGAACTGTAGAGCTCTCTTGTTGGGATACTCAGCATGGAAGTTTTTTTCCCTGTTACAAAACCACACAACGTTGCACTTATATTTGATATATGATATCTGACACTTGGAATGATATTCGTCAAATTTGTTCTTTAAGAAGTTGATAAACTTGTGATTTAATTCAATTACAGTCTGACTTTCCTATTTGAATAGTGAAAAATAGTGTTAAAATTACTATAATGTCTAGAGAAAGGCATTTTACTGACTCACATTATAACAAATGTGTATATAGAGTATATATTATTATGTCTAAAAATTGCTGATAATAATTGTGTAAATCCTTGATATTTTATCTCTATAGAACAAGCCAAAGCTCCTATTATGTTGCCCTGAAGACTGTTTGCTTGTTGAGGAAGATCATAGCTCAACGGAAATGGCAAACTGCAAAGTAAGTTGTATCCTTAACTTTTTTAAACTGTGGTAATTAATATATTCTTACACAGTTGCATCCTCAATACTCCAGGGAGTATGATCAATTTTGCTCTCTGCACCCCTGGAACACTTTCTGGTCAAAATTGAAGGTACGAGCAAAGTAATTTGATTGGTCTAGAGTGGACAGAGTCATATTAGTGACCTTAATCTCTTTTGATATATCCTTTCTAATAATAAGTGTGTCTGAAATTATTTGTGTCCTAGCACTTGATTAGAATACACTATAAGTTTTATCTGATATAGTAAGAAGAACTGTGTATAACCACACCTACATAAGAACTGTGTATAACCACACCTACATAAGAACTGTGTATGACCACACCTACATAAGAACTGTGTATAACCACACCTACATAAGAACTGTGTATGACCACACCTACATAAGAACTGTGTATGACCACACCTACATAAGAACTGTGTATGACCACACCTACATAAGAACTGTGTATGACCACACCTACATAAGAACTGTGTATAACCACACCTACATAAGAACTGTGTATGACCACACCTACATAAGAACTGTGTATAACCACACCTACATAAGAACTGTGTATAACCACACGTACATAAGAACTTGGTTTCTAAGACATAAAATTTCAAATGTACACAGACATTATCCAGACTGAAATTTAGACATCTTTATTGGTTGCCTAGCAACTGATCATTTTTATACTATTATTACTGATTACTCTCTTAGATGATTTGGTAAGATATGGATTATTGTACCAATTTTATACAATGATGTATATTTGTCTGATGAAGAGGATCATAGATTATCCTGTGTCACTGATAGATTTAATTTGGTCAATGATTTCATGCAGTGTTTTGTTTATATAAAGTTATATAAAGATGGTATGTTATGATTTTGTGATGCTAGTGTAAACATTTTGTACCATAATGACTTGATTTATCTACCTCTAATTTAGGGATGTGATGGAGGTTCTGAAGGAAGATGGCAGGAAGATAATGATGTCACAGCCATCAGAGACAGCCGTGGGTAATATGGTGCGGCGTGTGCTTAAACTTGTAAGAGAGGAATATGCCAGGTTTGTCTGCTCAGTTTATTTTTTAACATCTTTTTGGCAAAAAGAAACAAAAATCACCGAATAAACACTTGACCATAATATGATATCGTTTCTCCTCCTTAAATGATCAAAAATGCACTATCTCATTGATATTTCTTACTACACTTAATTCATGTGTAATTGTTGTTTATTTATAGCAGGTTTGCTTAAGTAATGTAAATAGTAAATACAATTCACTTCCTGTTACGATATGAGTATGCATGTTTGTATTTGTAGTGCATGTGCAGGCAAGTCCGAGGAGGGAGACCCACAGGAATCTTTACATGTAAGTGTTCTACTATAGAATGGAACTGTTCTACAATATGGTGGGTGACTGTAAGTGTTTTTATCTTTCATACAGTGAGGTGGTGAAAAGTGTTCTACAACATAGTGTGGGATTGTGAAAAATATTTTTCCATAGGGTGGAATAATGGGAAGTGTTCTTGTTTAGGGTTGGGTAGGGGAAGTTTTCTACCCAAGGATGGGATAGAGGAAGTATTCTTCCATAGAGTGGAATAGGGGAAGTGGTCTACCATAGGATGGGACAGCGAAAGTTTTCTACTATGATGTGGAACAGGAAGTTGTCTTCTCCCATAGAGTGGGATGTTGGGAAGTGTTTAATTATAGGATGGAATGGTGGAAAGTGGTCTTCCCTAGAGCTGTGTCGTGGAAAGTATTTAACCATAGGGTAGGGAATTAAAGTCTTCTTCCATAGCAAATAGGGTGAGCTAGGGTATTGGGAAGGTCTTCCTGCAAAAGATCAGATGGGGGGAAAGACTTTTTCATAAGGGGAGATGGTTTTCCTACCATATGATGGGTGGTTTTCCTTCTTCCTTCCTATGATAGAATGGTTCACTTTCTTTTGGTGGAAGTTGCATTGCCACAAAGAAACACTGTATAACCTATATGTCAGTGGTATTCTTCATCCTACATAGCTACATGTATATGTTTGTGCTAAAACATTCAGCATTGCTTATACATAACCAAAGGATTGATTTTCTTGTTTTTGTCAAAGGTATAGTTTTTTTGCAATTCTGAGATTTATCAGAACAAAGTGACAAGTTTGAAAGAAAACACTCCTGTTATGTGTGTCTAAATATGACTCTCAATGCTGGAGATATTTGATGATAGGAAATTTTATGATTCCATAATAAATTTACTATGTATTTGTGTACATGTCTCATTCCAGAAACTCTTATTAGCTGAGGGTGAGATAGATGACTACAGTCGAGTGGTACCAACTCTTAAGGTAATCATTTGAGAGTTTTCCTAAGGAACAGTATGCTTATATGATGATAAATAATCCCATTTTCATTAACAAATAATTCTTCTAGTGATACATATACAAGAACAGGAAAGATGCAATGAAACTATATGCTATATATCAATAATTTACTGTATTTATCCTGATATAAACCCAGCTCTTATACCTCTGACTCAAAGTAGGGATGGGCTTATTACAGGACAAGGATATACCATGTATTGTTTCTATCCTAGCCACAATGGATTATTGTGGGCTTATTATGAGGCATGGGGTCATTGCAGTATGAATACCGGGTATATACAAGAAATGTGTATGTATATAAATGGCAATGCTGTATTACAAGATTTTTCTGCTGTATTTGTTATATAATGTATAAATTGTAGGAGTAAGTAAATGAATTACCTAAACCCTTTCTGGAAATGATAAAAAAGTTTGACATTGATCAATAATTACTTTTCTTCCTGTCAGGTGTCTGTGATTGAGGCTCTCAATGAACTTAAGGTGGAGTTAGAAAACAGGTTAGTGGTTAACATGTTACAATGTATTTTCATCATTTGTTCTGGCATCATGGGAGTTCTGCTGTAAACAGAAAATTTACACTTCTATTGAATATACTTGTCAAGCTTAAATTTTTTGACTGAAGCCTCCTGTTATTTCAGTAATTTTCTGTCATTAGAACAAGAGTTTGGTAGTTAGCAACATTTGTTTGAGAATAATGTTGCAAAAATATACTTATTTAATGTGTTTTATTCTTAAATTGAGGCGGTTATAGAACCAACAAAATTGGCAGGTATTTGTATCAATCTTTTGTGGAAGACTATCAAAATTAATTACAAGATCGGGAACAATGGCACTATACAGATAAACTAATCCAGAGAGAATTGGAAACATGTTTTCTTTACCCAAACCAAACACAATACTAGTCATCCCACCATTTCAGAATTTACTTAGGTTAGATGCGTATGGACGTAGTTTAATTGACTGTTCCACTTTAACAGTTCAGGGACTGTAATTGTGATGCTGATCTTGATATGTTTGTTAACTTCAGTGCTGACAATATTGCTGGACAAGCATTAGAACATATACACTCTAATGAAGTAATAATGACTGCTGGCAAGTCCAAAACTGTGGAAGCTTTCCTCAAGGTACGTAATATGTGATAGGTGTGTTGTTGGAGCTGTCAAGCATTCAGTGCCTTCAAAGTTGAATATGTCTCTTTACCTTGGAAATATTACAAACCAACTTTCTTTTGCAGCTGCTAACTTTTGGTATTTCTACATCACATCAGATTCAGGGCAACTGACTTTTGGAAAACAGACTATAATATACTTTTCTATAATTGTTGTTGATACCATCCTGTCTATTTGCTATGGTAAATTTTGACAAATTGTTCAAATTAATAAAAAAACTGATCACACAAAAATGGAAACAGTTCATTGTGATTGTGTAGTCTTATGCTATGAATTATTGTGGTTACAGAGCTGTGTACATACATATCGTAATTCTTAGCAATAAGAGCACCATTGGCATTGTAAAGTCATTGTTTTATTATCATCTTTGTTGTCATGTCAGAACAGTAACATGTCTCACAATACTTATTGGACCTTGATTGATTGTGGCTAAAATCATTTTCACCGTGAAATGTCACAACTAGGACATTTTCTCCCCCTCTCCCCTACCCTTAAATGTGTTATAAGGTCTGATGTCTCCCACAAGAAAGGCTTGGGGAGCAAAATTAAGGTATCCTTTTTACCTGAGATATTTTAAATCTTATGTGATACTTTCACAATCGTTTTCATATCATAAGATTTTTGAAATTTCATAATTTTGTTTAGGTCACCAGAGGTTTGTGAAAATAAAAAAAAGAAATAATTGATTTTGTTAGAAGATGGAAAAGGAATTCCTGCTAAAGTAGTCTCTCCGGTATGTTTATATACATCTTCATTTTCACAGAAAGCAGCAAAGAAGAGAAAATTTCAGGTGATAGTAGCAGAGTGTGCACCATTTTATCAGGTAAATATTTAGCTGACATTCATTCAAGTTATTGGAGAAATTTCCTGGCTTTAGTTAGATAAAAGTGATTGGATCAGGTCAAAGTACAGTTGAACTTGTTATTTCGAAGTCGGCTGGACCATGGGGAAATTTCAAGTTATCTAAGTATTCTATCTTAAGTAAGTTCAAATGTTTAGTGTGCAGTTTGGCGTGGACTGATGAAATAATTCAAATTATACAGGGTCTTCAAGTTAAAGAATTCAAGTTAAAGAGGTTCAACTCTATATATCATTATCGGAAACCCACAAGACTCTGCTCTGTCATTTGAGTCACCAGAGTTTCATGATGAGTATATGTATTAGAATTACCTATTTGTAGAATAAAGAGTTTATTTTTCAAAATTGAATAGGAGATTTGGTTTGATACAGGGTCAGGAACTGGCAGTAAGTCTGGCAAAGGCAGGAATTGAGACGACAGTAATAAATGATTCAGCAGTGTTTGCCATTATGTCCAGAGTAAACAAAGTCATCATTGGCACACACACTGTCATGGCAAATGGAGGGTAAGTAGGATCACTTAGGTTAAGGTCAGAACAAGGGTCAGAGAAGAGCCTGGTATTAAAGAACAGGGTTGTAGGTAGTATCTGGGGTTTGGGTGCAGACAAGGGTTTAGTTAGGAGCAGAAATTTGAGATCAGAACAGGGATTTCTGTGGGAACAATGGAAAGGCTTGAGCAAGGTCAAGGCAGATTAAGGGTTTAGTAGTTATGAGTGGGGTTAGGTAGGATCATAGGTTTAGGCAGAAATGAGAGTTTAGGTAGGATACAGGTTTGCAGTAGACACAAGGGTTTTGGTAGGTAGAGTTAGGATTTGAGTAGGCAAAAGAGAAGGGAAAGGGGATTAGGTAAGCATAAGCATGAATAGAGGGTCTGGAATAAGGGCTTAGGTATACAATCTTATGTTTATGTGTATATTTTTGTTAACTATTGGTAGATATAGTTTACATGACCCATTTAAGACAAAACAGATATTGAAGACATAGAGATATTGAAATGGTATTCGTAAACAAAGGATTAGCTCCCTTCATCAATTACAATTACCTTTATATTGTAGAGAAAATCAAATGAAATCATTTCATGAAAATATTTGATGATGTATGCATATTCTTGTTATAAATTTGCAGTTTGAAAGCCATCAATGGTAGCCATGCTTTGGCCCTAGCAGCAAAACATTATTCTGTACCGGTAAGTTTTATTTATGGTAGCTTTTAATGATGGGGAAACTGATGGTTAACTCTTTTTGGTAATGTTACAGTGGAGGGATGATTTATCAGTACATGATAAAAACTTTTTCTGGGAAACAGGTGTTACAATATACATGTACTCTTGTAACAATAAAACTGCTGACCATTGTTGAGGACTGAATTATGTACGAGGAATTATCACTGGATTGAGATGACAGAACTACACCATATATTACTGAATTACTACTAGGTATAACAGAATTACCACTCTATATTACTGAATTTCCACTCCATAATACAGATTTACCACTGGATATGGTAGAATTGACAATAGATATCACAGAATTACCACTATATATTTCTAAATTACTGCTCAATATGGCAGTGTTACCATTAGATATGGCATTGTTACCACTAGAGGTTACTAAATTAACCACTAGATATGCAGAATCACCACTATATATTACAAAATTACAGCTTAATATGACAGAACTACCACTAGATAAGCAGATTAACCACTATTTAATATTGACATACCACTATATTTGACAGAATTACCACAAGATATGACAGAATTACAGCTGTATTTACTGAATTTATTGACTGTTGAATAGATGTTGCAACATTAATTAGATTTAAAAGGTTGGTTAGTGGGGTGGCAGTGGTAACACACTTGCTTTTCACTGAGGCAGCTGTGGTTGGATTACATGAACAGATGTAAAAAGGGTATTTGGTCGCCTGCCTGATCTCATGGGTTTTCCTCGGGTACTCCTCCTGCAGTAAGACTTTTCATGCTTCCTTCTGGGCCAACAAGCATAAGTCAATGTTTGAAAAACTTGTTGCACAGTGGTTGAAATATAGATAAGGTTCAATCTCATAATAATTGAAACACAGGAATGATATTTACTGTGAATCTTTATCTTTACAGTTGATAGTGTGTGCAGCCATGTTTAAGTTATCACCACAGTACCTCTGTTCCTACGATCAGGTAAGGGAGACAACTTCACACTGTCATTAGCATAATGTATATTGTAAACCCAAAACTGTCTTTATCTATGTCCTATCACAGTTGTACGTGTAGTCCAACATCAACGCTACTTCAGTAAATGTGATAGGTATTAGCTCGTGATGCAAGCTAGTGAATCAAGTTATTTAGCTCACTGATTATGTTGACATCAAGATCCCACCCCTAAACTTTGGTTAAGCATTTGGAAGTAATTTTTAATGCAGTTTAAATCTGGATTGATTTTTTTGGGGGTGGGGGATATTATCACTTACTTTTTTAACATCAAATTTCTCTGAAATTTTTGGCCAAAAGAATTATCAAAAAAGCATTTCTCAGTGGCTGCTGCCATTTAGCTCAGCGATCATTGATTATACTTATTTGTTGTACTGTACAGTAATGTTGTTGATGCAGATGTCACTGTCTGGGTCTGTAATATTTCTTAATATAAAAGTAAGCAACGTTAAACAAATAAATTCACAATGTTCCAGATCAACCTATGAATTCAATTTCAAATTTTTAACATTTTGTCCTGGAGTTTTTCACTTGCAGTTCACCATCATATATTAATGTTTTCATACTGAAAGGATATATAAAAGTTAGTTCAAAATGATAAATAATAATATTTAGCAATAATACAATAATTTTGTATGTAAATTTGGAAAACTTCTTGATATGCAATTGACAATATGATCGTATTAAGAGTTTTCTGTTGTTCTTTGGGTACACATCATTTGCAGATTTACAGTAGTATTTCTTTTAGGTTGTAGAACGGCTAGGCTGACAGGTAAAAATTCTATTTACCATGATATAACCATCAGACAAGAAGTGATATTTCTAATGCTGTGTTTCTTCTCACAGGATGCCTTTAACAAATTTGTGAGTCCCCATGATGCCATGAACTTCTCTGAGGGCGAGATTTTATCTAAGGTCCAGATAGCCAACCCAGTATTTGACTATGTACCACCAGAACTAGTTACACTCTTTGTCTCCAATATGTAAGTTGGACATCATCCTAATTATAATGTTTGGACTAGCAAGTTTACATTAATGAGATTGATATAATTTTGAAGTACCATCATAAATTTCTCAAGTGATATGATTTAAGCATATTTAAAAAATATTAATTCTGAATGAAATTTTGTGTTATTAAAATGTAACTTTTTATCTTTTCCAGTGGCGGAAATGCACCATCTTATGTGTACAGACTTTTAAGTGAACTTTACCATCCAGAGGACCATGAACTTTGATCTTGTGTTGTGCAAAAATAAAAAAGTGACATTATCGTATCATTCTACAGCAGAAATCATGAATCCTTGTGGCATGTTCTGTGAACACAATTTAAAATTTGAGTATGTGACGTGTTAATTTTTTTTTTAACTTGTGTCAGGTAGATGTAAAATTGTTCAAAGCTGTAACCATTGTTACTCCCTGTCACAACCATCAAAAAGCATTTAGGTGAATGGCTGTGTGTGTTTACAGTCTGCATATGTTTGACCAAAGGTAAAGCCTGGCAATATCTAGAAAGAGTTACTTCCCTTCAGTCAGCAATGAAAAATTTGTTCACTCTTAACCAAGTACAAAGCCTGGTGATACCTAGAAGGAGTTACTTCCCTTAAAGGTCATCAAAATGTAAGAGTGTGAAGGGCTGTGTACTTTTAAGCAGAGTTGGCTTGGTTTATCATGCTGTAAACAGCCAGTTTATTTTGAGACAGAGTAATTAGTCGCTACTTCACTGGAAAAAGTACTGGAAACCTGTCTACTGCTATCTACAGCAATTAGGGTAAAGTGTCTTGCCCAAGGACACAATCATACCAGCACAGATGATGCATCTCTTAATTTCCTGACAAACACAAACCGCCACAGGTTGTGAGCTTTCCACCATGCACCTTGAATATTCCCCTTATGTCTTGTAGGCCAATGCTTTACCAACTTAGCTATCTTGGTCCCTTTATCGCACGCAAAGCCTGACCATGTTGGCTGCACTTCTTTCTGTTGCAGGGTATCAGTAACACAATTTGCAGTCCTGCTTGGTCCATCCTGTTTTCTGTATTGATATAACAATTTGATAAAGAATTGGTTGTGAGACAACTGTAAATGAGAATTGTTTCTAAATGATTTCATTAAGCAGTTTCACCTGCTGCTTCTTCCCAGAAATCATCATGTGATGTCTTGTGCAAGATGATCAAGTCTTTGTTTCATGCATGAGTGTACCCAGTGACACTCTGTCTAGTAAACAAGTTAAACTGTTCCTTGTTGACCACCTGCTGATGTCTCGTTCCATGAATATCATTTCATATGTTATATAATTATCTGCCATATCTATAGATGTATTTACCTTGTCACTGAAGTCCTCTGCAAGAGGTAGAAATAGTTTCAAGGGATATGGAAATTTGATCCAAAAGTATTGATCACCAACAGTTTTTACACACAATGTAAAAGTAACCTTTGGATGTCATTGCATTTGTTGGAAGTGATCTGATATTGTTTATTTGATCAGTTGAAGGCTGATTTCAGAAAATCTAAATTTAGTTTTCATATCAACACAATGAAAAAAACACCTTTGCCAGTAAGGCAAAAATGAAAGATACATTTGAAAATACATGTATAGCTGAATTTTAAAAGGCTGGAAAGATAAAAAATGACAAGAAAGTATATTTTCAAGATTTTATTCTCAAAATAATTGCTGTTTAAAAAATCTGCAAAAATAAAAAAAAAAAAAAAAAAAAAACCACTGATATCAAAATCTCAAATGCTTTTTTTCTTTTTTCTTTCTTGTTATATATATTTATATATATATATGGTTGAACACTGTTTTTGTGTTAGCACTAACACACCAATAATGAGATGACTCTAGCTAAGTTACACTCGTATACATACAGAATCACACATTTACAGGCAGATAGAAGGGTTAGTTCTGCTTAACCATCAAAACTGGTAACTGAACACAGTTTTTGTTGAATCAAGATTAAATCAGCCATAACAGAACCTCATTAGACTGAACATTTAAGTTTCTAAAAGTAATTTATTTGACGGATGAAAGACTTATTTTCCCTTTATTTCAAAATACCATATTTTTCAAAATTTTTAAAAGTAAAGTTCAGAATTCTGAGGAAATGCTGAAATTTTGTGCTTCGTAGTTACAAGTTGCCATTTAGTATGGTGAAAAATGTTTGAAAATATTCTTTGAAATGTTACAGTAAATTGGAATGTCTACATAAGTTTACATACATGAAAGGGTTTAGTAAGACTTTGGAAGACTGATTTGAAACTACTTCAATTGAGATTTCATTTATACAAATTAAAATTTGACCATTATGGATAAATGTTAAAGCTATTTTGAACACAGAGTAAGAATGCAAATGTACTTAAATTGATTGACCGATCCCTAGATTTTTGCAGGGACATTTCTTAAACCTATAAATGTAGTATCGAGCTTGTAGCAGACTTCCTCAATTACAAGACTTATCATCCTGAGGAGGCCATGCTCAAGATGGGACTTTATACTTGGACACCATGTACTTTGTTTGTTTGTTTCTTCTTTGGTCATTCTTGGGAGGACAATGTTTGGCATACTGAAAATTTGTGGATATTTAAAGAGTTATAGTTCTTTGTATCCCCTTGAATCTTGGGGACAGGTTCTTTCCATGAAAAATGGTACATTATACAGGTAGATACTAGCTGTGACCACTTGGCTAGAGCTGAATTTCTCTCTAGCTGAGCAGTGGAGCAGTGTATTACGACTAGTATTTGCCCAAGTTGCACAGTTCATTTATTTTTATTTCGACCTTTGTCTTGAGATGGGATACTTTGGGTTTTATTCCAGTGGAAGAGTCAAGCAATTCAAGCACATGTATAAGAAAGGCATGCTTTCTCAGAGGAATATTTCAAATAACAACAAACTTCACAACCAACAGATCTAGAGTAAGCTGCATGCATTCACTTATACTTAGTAATATGGGGTATACATTGTATATCTATAGAAAAAAATATTGCTTGTATTTATTGTGTATAATTAACAAATTGTGGGAATAACAAAATAATATTCATGATAATGAAAAATGCAAAAAATGAATTAAAAATTTCTTGAAGTATCAATAAACCAAAATAATACAACTTGGGAAATTAAGAAGTTTAAGTAGACGGTGTTGTATGAAAATGAATTTTTAAAATGGTGAATTTAAAAAACAAAATATTAATGGTTGAAGAAAATGAATTTGGGGAAATAACCCAGAAAGCAGCACCAGTATCAACTTGCAGCATTCACATTTGAAGCAGGCTGTTTTTGTTAATAAGATTTATAATGTAAACATGCCTAATAAGATAATGAATGATATGACCCTAATGTTAAACTACTACTTCATCTCTCAACAGAAAGCAAAAACGATAACCCTGCATACAAAGTATGAGAAAATAAGCAATGTTATACAATGTATATGTATAAAAACTCATTAATCAATATGATACAGATCTGAATCCCCGCCAGTCAGTAATCACATCCAATCAGAACTGTCGCTGATTCATCACACAATCATATGACAACATTACTAAAAGAGACAGTTTTCAATCCAGAACATGATTACTGTAAGCATACTTATTTTAGTGCAATCAACTTTCAGCGTATCATCAATTCATAAAATCTAAGTGCAATAAGAATTTATACATTTGCAATAAATGCTATAGAAATGCTAAAATATGTATGTTTACAGTAAAATTAAAGCTGGAGCTACACCCTGAACTCAGCAGTTACATGGTAATGTACAAAGACAAACTTTAGTATCTCATGTTTTCAGATCTTTAGGGAAAATAAAAGATATCAGAGAGACATTTTATACAATCTGCAAACTAATATCTGAATATATATGTTAATGCAATATAAAATTCAACGAGATAATAATCTAGCTGATATGGGTTACGTGTTCACTCTCACACTTATATGGACGGCAGTCTTCTCATCACACATCTAAGAATTTAACAAAATAACAAAAAATAACTCTATATTACAAATATATATACATCTAGTAAGTCACTAACCTTTGCCCTGGAGCGACTGTTGTTATGACAACAGCTCCCTATTGTGTTAAACCCTCTAAAATTTCAAACAATCGTCCCATAAAAATTAAAACACCTCTATCAGTTCTTCTTATCATGAAGAAATGAATTTCTAACAAATACAAGTGTACCACTTTGTGTATTTTCATGGTAATCATAAATAAATTTTATAAATATATACACTAAAATTGCCAAATTTGTATAAATAAATATAAATATATACAGGATTTCAGTTGTTGTCTATTTGTTTCATTATATTTTTTCTACGGATATTTGTTTATATATGTACAATAATTCTGTAAGTACTTTACTACAATTCCAACCTATTTTTGTATATAGTGCTATGGATTTCTACTTTGTCTCGTACACCTATTTAAATTATTCTGAAATACAGAACGGAAGGGCTGTCTACATCACTACCGAATCTGACTTACACCTAAAAAATCATCATGTATCATCACTATCATTTATCATGCTCACAAACTTCAATGGGAAATATAAGTGTGAATAGTTAACAGGAATGTTCATACACACATGGAATGTTTATCTATAAACATGCACAAAAGTTCACATGTACTAGATAAGTAATATAACAAAATTAGTCTGGAATTTCTTCAGAAAAAAGTATAAAGATTGCATGAAACAAAACTGCTGAAGTCCAAATAAGTGTTAATGTGTAGCCGGGTAGCATATTGCTAACCATCCCGTAGGTACCTATAAATTGGCCGAGCACTACCTCACTGCCAATATTGGAAATGGTATAAAACAGCCAAACCCGGAAACACACAAGGTCAAAGTCATTGACTGGAGTAATCACAGACAGGGGCAACACTGCATTAAGAACTTTATAATCAATTGATTTCAAAAGAAAAAAAAATCAAAATATATGCCAAACAAAACATAGTTGTGGCAATCACAATAATAGAGTCAGTCACATGAAGGTCATAAAATAGCTTAGTTATCTTGACAGCGTGAACCAGTTGCTTTGCATATAAAGTTAGCATAGATCCTATTTTTCTGGAAATAAGCTTGTGCCTGGTAATAAGTGGACCATGCAGTAAACTCACCCTAGATGTAATCGGAATCAAAGTTTTATGTTGCTCCTCCCCTCTCCCCCCAACCCACCAAGACTTAAAATAAATATGATATGCTATATACCATAAGCATAAGGCAGCTCTTGTTTGGCTTTGCTGTTGGTTAATATGTGCAATCAAAATACAGTGGGACTATCAACAATTACATTTTACTATGCAACCTTCAACTATAACATACATCAATATCAATAGAATGAACTTTTGATTTCAAAGAGCATTTCATCTTTTGAAGAAAAATAAGTATTTGTTCTCTATGGAATGAAAAATCTTAACAAAAATAAACAAAAATTGATGAGTTAAATTTAAAATTTTGATGGAATGTTTTAAATGAGATGAAAGCATCGTAATACTACTAGGATATATACATAATTAATTGGACGTATATTGCAGTGTTTATACTCAAAACAAAACAGTAGGGCGAGATACACATTGACTGATATTGACTGGGTACCAGGCCCAGAGGACTGGACAGGATGGACGGTCAACAAAAGTGTAAAGCTTTCTGTCTCCATTGCTGAAGACCTACGTCAGTCAAGGGAGGTAAATGTTAAAGAAATAGGACAAGAAAGGTTATGAGACATGATGTACGAGTATTATAACAGATCTATGTTAAATAGCAGTAATATAACTACTACTTTAAATAAACAAGAGGGAAACATTAAAAATGGAAGGAAAAAAAACCACAATTGATCGACTTTTCATTTTGATCAGAATGCTGATGACATGTGGATACAATAATAAAAGATGTATTCACTTGGCAATCTTGTGGCAGTATGGAGTTTGAATTAACAAAGAAATATAGTTACAAGGAATCTCATAATCTTTTGAAATGTAGAACACAACAACAGTCAGATAGCCCTGTCTATTGAGATGTTCCACATTTTACATATTGTGAGATACTGTAACAGTCAGTTATGGCTTAGGTTAGTTATGTAACTGTCCCATTAAAGGGGTTGATAATTTATGCCATGCCATGAGACAACTCCACAAGTGCAAGTGCCGAAATCCACTTGTCTGTCTGCTCACTAAGGGTCATTTCATGTGTTTCCTTCTGTGGTATGTAGTCATATTCGACAGGTTGGTAGGGGTCAATTGTGTGATAGTCGTAGTCGGAATCAACAGGCTGCAGCTGGTTTTGGGGCAGAATGATTGGCTGAGGATCCTCGTAACCATGAATATTGATGTTGCAGTGATTATTCATGCTCATGTCATAATGATTGTTCATGCTCATGTCACACATGTTACTGTTCATTGGCATCATATAGTGGTTGTTGTTCAATGGCATGTTACACTGACTGTTGACCATGTTAACCTGATGTGGTTGTTGCTCCTGATGATGATGGTGATGGTGTTGGTGTTGGTGATGGGTTGTCATTGACTCCAACAATCGCTCCTCCATCATCTGCTCCTCCTGCTGCTGTTGATGAAGAGGCATGACATTCTCATCTGGAACAGGAAGCAGTTCCGGTTCAATCTTTACATTGACATCCTGAGGAGATCTTTTTACACGTTTAATATTTCCTGGTCTCTGTCTGTTGAATATTCGTTCTTCTTTGGTGGTTATTTGTCTGAAAATAAAACAGTGAAATTTATAAGCTAAACAAAAGTTAAATACTTTCCACCCTTTACAGCTCTCAGGTACATTTAGAGGTCAAATTAAGACTAAGTGTTGATGCGTAAAGTGTACCAGTAAACCCATCTCTATAAAACACCTTTTACACAGATTTAATACTTAAAGTATGTTGTTATTCTCACATTCTAATGAACGTACTGAAGACCGTGGCATTCAATTAAAACTTCTTCAAGAAAAATAAAACAAATAAATAGAATTGTGGATTGTCTCTGAGGAGATGTGAAATTAAAGATGGTCTATGACAAGAGTTGGAAATACTATTCAAATTTCCTATGAAAAGGTATGAAACTGTACATTGTCTGTGAGAAGGTATGAAATTTGTCATTGAGAGGGTATTGAGCTTTAGATTGTCTTTGAGAATATAATGCTCATTTGTCAATGTTAGTAAATGCTTTCACACAAGTCCGATGTTCTTACCTTGTCAGCCAGTCTCTGACCGCTGGATTTGATTCACTCTGGATGAGTTTCTGAAGTCCATTGATAGTGATTTGTGGATTGACTCGCTTCAGTGATGCATATGGATGATCCTGACAGTGTCTGTTTGCATGGGTGAAAAGGCTCTCACAACCTGTAGTAGAAAACAGTTTGTTTATATAAAATATTCTCCAAAAACTAAGATAAAGTTTAGATCAAAATATTATCCTTGCAAAACACACATTTACCACATCAGATCAAAATATTACCCTCACAAAACACACATTTACCACATCAAATCCAAATATTACCCTCACAAAACACACATTTACCACATCAAATCAAAATATTACCCTCACAAAACACACATTTACCACATCAAATCCAAATATTACCCTCACAAAACACACATTTAACACATCAAATCCAAATATTACCCTCACAAAACTTATATTCATCAGAGCCCATCAAAATTACTGAAACTCACATTCGATAATGTATGAAATGTTTTGGAAGACAAAACTCACCATTAGCAGAACAAATGAAAGGCTTTTCTCCTGTGTGTAGTCGTTGATGAGTCTTCAGCTGTCCACTCTGACAGAAAGACTTTCCACAACTCGGGTAATCACACAGGTATGGTCGCTCACCTGTATGTATAAATGATATGTATTGTGTGAAACGTCAATCAACTCTGCCATTATAGATACTAGATTCCTTAGGTTTGTGTCGTTTAATTATATTATCTAAGGGTGCTAAGATATTGGACACGAAAACGAAACACTCACTTAAACTATATTGTAGAAAAATATAGAGGTCATTTCCAAGATTTTACAAGGAAATTTCGAAGATAGAAATGTCTCTCTAACGGGGCTAGCCTCTCCACAAACTAACTCTTTTTATATGAATAAGAACAATGATGGACTAGCATCATACGCGAGTTTCCCTTTAAATATGATAGTGGGAATTTAGTACAAGACTTTAAATTCTTTGAATGGTAGTCTATACGTGGTTCTATTTAACATCGATTACATACTGTGGTTGAAGTTTAAAAGTCTTATCACTTGCTAATTGTTTATTTTATGGTTCATCGAATCAGCTGCATGTTTACCAGAAAGTTATATACTTCCGCATTAGTTGTATATAAATTTAGACAAAATCAGAGTGCACATTTTATCAAAAATATTCCGAATGTGTCACAAGTGAATCACGCGGGAAACCATAGCATGACATTGACTTGCGGTTAAGTCAGGCGAGTCCTTTTGGACCTTTTGTGTTTCGTAATCTCTGAAACTCTATAACGGCTAAAGAGGAATTTAGAGGTCGAATGACGACATTACGGCAAAAATGTGGTGCTCACTTCCCGGGAATATCACGTTCGAATCAGACAATGCACCTGTACAAAGGGGTACGGAATCGGTTGATGACTAATTTGCTTTGTGTTGTTGACATATCGGCTTACAAATACTGGTCCGTTATTTATTTGTTACTGGCCTGAAAATGTCTTGTCCGTTGCTCCCAGAGCCAGTCATTGTGTGAATACTATACCGGTAACTTGTTCTGCTTCAATTCAGCCCAAGCCTTTTGAATTGTAATAGATACGATTCTACAGACACTCCAATTGACTGATTTCTATTTTCCTTTACTAGTCTACTTCGCTCTCGGCATGAGAATTGTATGTACACAATCTAGTGGTTGATCAATCGGCATCTTGTAAGTCCTACGTGTACTAGGTCTTTACATACCTTATGAGTACGTACCTATACGCAATGTTTAGTATTTACTTAAATACGATACAGTGTGCGTGTTTGTCTTCATTTAGACACAATGCGCCTAGTGTTGCTCAAACATGACGATCCCTCCCCACAGACGTAAGCACTAAAAGATCTAGAGAGGTTTTGAGACTTTAGAATCACCCCGTACCCGTAAATAAATAAATTTTAAAAATGTATTTCTGAATACACGAGGTCCTTTATAATTTTCGAAGGAAGACATTTCGTAAAGATAGTAAGGACATCTAGGACACTACGTGTGATTCTTACTCTTCAAAAGTTTGCAAAAACACGAAGTTACAAGAAAGTTTGATATTCTGTTCATCTCGTTCGTGTACAATTTTTTTTTTTTTTTTTATTTTGTTTTTTTATTATCATTTTTTTTTTTTTTTTTTACAATTTCTTATATTCAAAGTTACTCCAGGAAACCATAGAGATTGATATCGTATGAAAGATACTATATACAGAAATATAAGCGGTGGGTAGGGTAGGTATTATTTAACAAAATCATCAAACGGAGGAACTATTGTGACCGCAGACTAAATGAATCATTGTCGGAATTACAAGGTACACGACTGTACACTCGGCTGAGTGAGCACGTTCCCCATTAATCGACCGACAAGTCTTGTACACGACTGATACATTTTTTGGAATAAATAAGAAGATCCGGATTTAGACTTAACTTTTTTAATGAGTGATTTTAACAGCCAAACATTAAGGTATCGACGGCTGAGTATAGACTAATGGTCTGTTCAATCACCGTGACACCTTACATATATATGTATTCAAAGCACAGATTAATGAGACGATAATTTTTCATTTTAAATATTTGCAAGTGATGACTTGACTAGTCACTAAATTAATCAGTTCGGGAAATTTAACATAAATGTATTTCGACAACGAAGGAAAAAAAATATTAATCTGTCTACCTTTAAAGTTCTGGCAATATCAAATTACACGTACGTCCTCTTCAACACAAAAATTCTCTACTTTTAAACTTCAAGCGTGTATTTTCAACTCTAATAAACGATTGTTTTGTTTGGGGTTTTTTTTTAACTTTTGTTTAAAATGATGATTTTTACTCCGTGTTTTTGTTTTCAAATAAACAGCAAGCTGCCATGTATTCGTGTCGAATCTGCTCTATTTTTGGGTACATTTAAATGTCTCTATACAACGGGACATTGTGGCCATAAGGCTAGATCTAACGGTAAATATATTGTACAGGCAACAAATCACACACAAGCTATGGAAGCTATATAGGTCGGCGGGTGTACAAAACCTTGCCACAGGTAAATACCGTTTGTACAGGTAGGGAATGTGAGATTTACAGGTAACCAGCTCGTGTAACGGGTTCCGCGTGGACTTGTGTGTAAACAATCAACACGGAGCGCTAGTAACCAGGCACGCCTGGACAAGAACCTTCTCCCCCTTTGTTAGTGCCAGGCATTTAAAGTTGATGCTCTATTTGTTTACAATAATCAATAGATTGTCCCTATGGTAACGTTAGTAACATTTAAATCTATGATGGTCGCTAAAAGGCCCCGTGAACACGTGGTGGGTGTTGGGGCCTTAGCGTGCGGTGGCGGGCAAATAAAGTATGGGAATGTACAAAATATAGCAATGGCTACGATTATTTACAAGTTCGCCTGTGTTCAGTTTTGTCTTGATCTTTCCAATATCGTGACATAATTTAGATAAATGCTTACAAATAAACATATCCTGTTGCAAATATTTAAATCTGAATAGATTGCGGAAGATTTTTTTTTCAATTACATGTCAACAATTCTCTTGTAAGTAAGACCCAATAATTACATTATTAAAACGTATTAAACGACAGTGAATTCATGTTGAACAAAGTTGTTTAGAATACATCGAGATTAAATGGTAATTGTGGGATTAAATACCGTTTAGACAGGACATATCTACACTACTACATGACATGTACTTTGTAACGGTATGACACCAGGGGACCTTTAACTGAAAAATCAATTCATTTATTGATCTCACAATAGAAATTGTTTCCCTTTCCTGGTGTGGACTTTAAATTTTAAATATTTAATACAGAAAGAGATTTAAATCTCCACCAGATTGTAAGTTTATATAGACTTAACATACAGTTAAATGGAAAACAATACCAATTAATAGACAATATTCATCATAATTTCTTATCTAAAGAAGATACTAGTCAACAACTTGGATTTATTTATTTAAGTAACTGATTGATTTCACATACTATCATAGCCCCTAAAGTGACAGGTTTATATCACTAGTGTAAACATTCTACAAGTTTTTATATAATTCATACCTATTTACGCAGTTTTATTAATAACGAAACAAACATAATTTCAGACAAACGTGGAAAGGTAGAATATTTAATTTTTAACATTGAACATTTTATATGGTTATTGGTAAGTTCCATTTCAACGTTTATCTTGGAAATTGTAAATAATGTGTGATTACAAGGACATTATACGGTAGAAAATTCAGTCTCATAAATAAACATGTTACATAAATCCTACAATATGATTTTCGAACGATGAAAGAGATAAGTTTTATCCTGACAACTCATGATCATCCATGTATTTAGAATTGTCAAAGCGGAAGAAAAAACACATCCTAAATCTGTGTACAAAAATCTGTACACAAACGTGTGTAAGCATGCTATCTGCATTAATATTGTATCCGCTAACAACATACGTATCTTCGATTTACAGCACAGAATTCATCTGTGTACAAGTTCGATCCTCCTGTTAAATATGTTAAATTCCTACAAGAGTCGCTTACTGCGTAGTACATTAGCTCTACAATTAACTGATATCATATTGATATTGCGTTAAATGTCCAATTCAACAATATATACATAGCATGTATATATATACATTTCAAAATTTAAAGAACTGCGATGATATCTTAAATTATTTCATAAAAGGCGTATTGAGAATATTTTGGTTAGAGTTAAAAACCAGGTACCCCTAACACGCACACTGGATTTAAATCCCTTGTAGTGGTCTGTATAAATGATCTCTTTAAACTTTACTTTCTCTTTGATCTGTTGAAAGTGATGGATTTATACATAACGGTAAGAGCATGTTGCTGGTGGAGGAAATAAACACCTGGATAGTTTACCTGTATGAGTTCTCATGTGTGCTTGTAAAGATTTCTCACGTGGGAAGACCCGATTGCAGGTCTCGCACCGTATACTGCTCATAGACACGGCTCCCTTGAATATCAGCTTCGTAATAGCGTCAGCCCGGGGCCGTCCACGGCGCCCGTTTGGGTCTTGGGATCCCTCATATTCCTCGCTGTCCGATGAATCTCCATCTGGGGAACCCCTCCCGAACGTTGTCGGGGACGTACTGTAGGGGATGTTTTTGTTTTCATCCTTATAGTTCCACGAATACATGGCGTGGCTGTCTCTTGTGCTTCCCTCTTCCCTTGTGAAATGGTATTTAACCACGTTTCATGAATAAACCCGTTATCATGCCCATACCTGTAACGGACCAGTAGTTCCTTTGTTGCTATAAATAAACCTGAGGGTGATTCCCGTACACATTTTCTAATAAACTATTGAATTCTGGGATAGCAATGTTTAACTTCGCAGATTTACATTGCTTTTACGACTTACAATAGCGAACATTGCATCACTACAATATTTCTCATGTTTAATATTTGTTTAATAAATGCAAAACTTGTAAAATCATACTGTTATTGATGCAAATCAATGTAACAAAGGTGATATTCCCGCCAACTTTACTAAATATGGAAACACTTACCAGCTTCTCATTCGGAATACCTCTATTCTATGCGTCGAGTTAAGTCTGTGTTAAGGTATTTCCCGAGCATGCTTGGTATCGAGGAAGAAACACGCCATATTGACTCCAGCTAAAGAAATAGGGCCGTAACAATCCATTGCCATCCTCTACAAGAAGAGGAACAATGGATAGCCAATACGGCGTAGAGGTTACTAACAAGTTCGCTCTAAACATAGACGACGACGATGATCCCTTTGAAATCATCCAGCAGCAAGAAGAGCTGAAAAAGAAGCTGGACACTCAGGACAAAACCAGCCAGAAATCGAAGAAGGCCAAACAAGCCAAGAAAAATGTCTTGCAACCTGAAAATAAGAACAAACAGTCTGAACAAACTGTTCTAAAGAAGGAAGGTAATGAAAGCAATGAGTATTTTAATTATTGCATATCACATTTAATGAAATAAGCGTTTACGTTTTGCGTACTGCGCAGCACATTGAAGTGGAGGCCACATGGTGTTTTGACATGTTCTGCCAAGTAACCCCACGTGTTTGGACGAACCTCTTTTCGTTGCGTCCTCCAAGCTATATGATTGGAATGATAACCAGTTGTAGGAAACCGATAATAACTGTGTCGTTGTAACTCCCTCTTATTTTACTTTTGCGGTTTTGTGTTCATCAAAACTTGGACAATTTACTGCAATTGCTTAGAGATTGAAACAATAGGTGATTATATAGGACTTTCGTATTGGTCTTTACCTGTCGACCAGATACACATATTGTATAAAATACTTGATTTATACATCAGTTTAAAGTTGCTGACGTTTGATGTCTTGTAACTTTAACAAGACGGCATAATTGTTCAAGATATATTCGACTATGTCGAGTAACTTGAGTTCCAAAATTTTCCAAAAGTTTTCTTTCTCTTCAGACCTCTAAACCTTTCCCATTGAACCATTGAGTGTTTTACCATAAGTTGACATTTTTATACACATTTTATGCTCATTTAGCTTTAGAAGTGAATACTTCTTCCAGAACTTTCCTGTAGGTATTTACACCAATAATGAAGTTTAATTTGAAAATCGGTGCACAGTTTTATGAATTACTGCAATGAAAATCCAAGGATCCTCTTTCCATTTAGGTTTTCAAAAACTTGAGCTGCATCATGTGAAACAGTAAGCATGGTATTTTGAAAAAGTTGGAGTTGAACATTAAAAGTGCAAAACCATTCGTAATTAAATCTTAATAGAAAAACTGCATTTGATGGTCCTTTTACTTATAACCCCATTTCTTTTATTTAATCAAATAATGAACAGTAAATAGGAAGGGTATGAACAGGCTTTATTGTTTGTTTGCATTTGATGACTTTTAGACAAATCAAACAATCAGTCACAGTCCAGACAGGACCGCCCGCCTCGCAGTGCAAGACAAAACAGGGAGCCTAGAGAACCCAGAGGAGATGATGACAGGCGGCCGAGAAGACGAGATGATAATGTCTCTAATGAAAATAGGTACTACTTGTTTGGGGAAAATTGCTCTTTTTTCCTAGATCAACTTCTGCTTTCCCATTCAACTTTATTTTTAGAAAACACTTTTCAAATTTAAGTCATTGTTCTATAAATTGTATATGAATGTGTTTTAAAACAAGTATAAAATGACAAGAAAAAATCCATTCCCTGGGAAAACAAAGCATTTCCCATTGCATTGAGATTGTTCTTTAGTCTATTCATAGTGGCTTTGAACTGTGAAAGCGGTGATTATATATCATAATTGATGTAAATAAATTTTTTATCTTTGCAAGTAGACCTCTTGATATCTGCTGGATTAAATTACTTTCCCTGATAACTGTTGGAATGACATTTTTAGGCCTATTTAATTTTGAATGCCGTAATTTTCCATCTTTAGTTGAATTGGTGACATCAGTAACATTGGGTTTTTTTTTAAAGGAATGATGGTGGCTTCCAGAGGTCAGAAGGTGGTGGTTTCAACCGACCAGACAGTGGATTTGGTGGCCGAGGTGGATTTGGTGGTCGAGGACGTGGTGGCAGGGGCAGTAGAGGAGGAAGAGGTGGTTCTCGAGGTGGTGGTGGCTTTGGTGGTGACCGACCAGACCGTGGAGACCGCAAAAGGGAATTCGAACGACATAGTGGCAGTGACAGAACGTTAGTATCATATTTTAATCCATAGCTTGATGAAAATTACTGAAAGAATTCGGAATGTTCAAATGCAAGAGTTGTTCCATTATATCAAGTAAACTTTACTAAAGTAATGTGAAAACAAATTCCAATGATTTGATAAGTGGTTAAATGATGAATTTGAAAACCGTTGTCGTAATTGTGTTTCAATTAGTTTGAAATTTGACAATACTACACATTTGATTAGCAGAAACTATCAAATAATTAACTGCTGTATCCTTTTCTCCCTCAATAAACTTTGTTTTAATTCATTAATGAAGAAGCTTTAATGTCAAGAAATATTGATTAGTGTGTTAAAATGAATTTGGCAATGTCTGTGACAGACATTTTAGAGCTGCTTTGGACTTGCAGACGTCGGGTGGCTGTCATCTCCAAAGGTTTGGCTGGAGAAATTAGGGAATGCAAATAAATTTTTTGTTTACCGTCTTGCTTTAGCAGTGGTGTGAAGGCTACAGACAAGCGAGAGGGCAGTGGATCACATAACTGGGGAACCTTTAAAGATGACCTGGAGTAAGTCTGGCTGTGCTTGGTTGGTGAGGCTGTATTGACCTGAAACCTAATTGTCAATTTGGGATGCTTTTTAAGCTGCATGCTATTCAATACCCCCCAAAATAGTTATTTTACAGTTTTTGAGTTGAAACAAAAAAGTTTTGGCTTTTTGAAGAATGCCCATACTTTGACCCAAATCCTGTTTTAAAGTGCATCAAAGGGTTCACACAATGACATTTGGTCTCCGTTCTTCATGATTTAATATACAGGCAAGACAAAAGTTTGTATCATGGCAAAGCATGCTGCAGAAGAAACATGTCTTTATTTCAAACTCCACATGGTTTGTCAAGACCAATTCACATTTTTTTTTTATACAAGAAATCAAAGAAAGATCATCAAATGTCGCAGCCTTGAGTGCAGATTGTTGACTAATAGTGCACCTCTTTGTTCTTCACCTCACTTTCCAATATTCCCAACTAAAATGTTATACTCCACTGCCACAAAGCAATTTTCATGTTTGTTTCAAAAACCGTGAGAATTAATTTCTGGAGTATTATGTCAGTTAAAAAACATTATTGCAAATTTGATCAAATAATGGATATTGCCATTTTTTAAAACGGAAAATCATTAGGTCTGTCAATGTTTCTGCTAAAAATTTAAATATAGCAACTTTTTTGGCTGCATTGTTGGTTACAATTTATCATATTAAAAAATGTATTAATATAGTTGGTAACATCGTAGTTATGGTGCAGTTCTTTGAATTAATAACAAATGTATTAATTTTTATCCCCCTCACCACCCACCTTTTTGAAGTGAGAATTGGATGCATCTTGCCACCCTTTAACAAGACATCAGCTACCTTAGTTTTAATTATTGAAAGAGGAGGATATCAATTCCACAAATTTGCTTTGAATTTGCTTGTTTAATTAATCTGACTGCGTGGTTTGAGGATAGTCTGATTCTGAAGTAACTTATGAAAAGTAGATTTACTAGATTCGATAACCTGTTCACTTCTGACTCCTGTTGGGTTCAGTACATTTATGCACATTGTGGTGGCAACAGTCATTTAGAGATTATAAGTCAACAGGCATGTGACTTTAATGTGTATGGTGCGAGAAGGGGGTTTGGCAGAGAAAAAGAAATTGAAACGTACCAGTACACAATGATGCTGCATTTTTATGATTATCTGTCAGTGACTGAAACGGATCATGTAATGCTGTCACTTTCAATAAAAGAAACATTTTCAGGATTTAACTAATGCTTTTTGATATGAATCCCAATTACACCTTCTTGACTGTTGTGATTACTTCACAACAATGCCAAGAAGGCATGGTGGAAGTTTACAATAGCCTAGTGCACCCTGGAATCGATGGATCATCCGGTAATGGGTCAAATTCTAGAAAGGCCGACATGCTTGTTTACAATATGAATGGCTTCTTGTAACTTGCAAGAATAAACAGAACATTACTATAGAAACTTTGCCAGCATGCAAGGCCCTTCATTAATATTTAACAGAAGAGACACGGATGGAGAGATTAAGTAAACAACATGTATCATCAAGCCCTATACTTCAGCTTAGATTTCGAAGGCCTGAATCTAAACCTGTTCAATATTTATTTCATTTTGTGTGACCGGAGTAATTTTCAAAATACATCAGTAAAATAAAGGATTATTTGTGCATAATTGATTTGCAAACTTATTCATTGTATACTGATAATAATGATAAATTGCCATCCATTGTCCATTTTCAACGGATCAAACAAAATGGGTAAAAATTTGCTCTGCTATAAACGGTGCGACTATTTAACCTGGAAAATATGGTATATAGAAAATAGTGGTTTTATTTATTGTTCTACCAGAACTTAGTTTATGGTCCTGAACAAGAAATTTCATGGTAATAATCACTTAACCCTACTAGTGTGACTTGTGGCAAATTAAAACATTTAAGACACTTGTGTACTTGCTTTATGATTTGTATTGTATGTCAAAAGTGACCTGTGTTCAGTGCTATCAAGCATCATGTAGAACTTTACCATTTGTAATACTTGAGGGTATTTTCAGGGAACAGACAAAAGAACCTACAACGGAAGAGACCAAGGAATGGAACCCCACAGAAAATGTGGAAAACCATGATCCAAAGTAAGTGTTTTAACAGCAAACTGCTAAACAAAATTCATCTGGTTAAAACTGGGAAAGTTTTGCGACTTTAAAATGTTGTCAATTAAAATGACCAGAGAAGAAAAAGTCTTTTGTGTTTTGATGGAATACTGCTGACATTTAAAGGACATAATCTTAATGGTGTTTCTAGATAATATCGCAAGAACAGAACTGCCTAAAATATAGGTTGTTTACCGAGATTGAATGCTTTTCACAATGATCTGAAGAAAATATTTGAGGTGTCAAATGAACAACTTCAAAAACAGGAGGGTATTGAAGGCTAGAACATTTCGGCTGTGAAGAATTGGTATCATATTTGATGAAAAATGAAATTTGTAGAGGTGGGAAATAACTACACATTACACATTGTTTTATTGATGACTTGTAATTTAAGCATATCTATTTGTCGGTTCAGCGAGAGCACAGAATCCACGGAAGCACCTGTTGAGGATGAATCCTCGAAGCAGTTGACGTTAGCTGAATGGAAGGCCCTGCAGGAGAAGACTCGTACGAAATCCTCATTCAACATCCGCAAAGCTGGAGAAGGATGTGACAACTCCCAGTGGAAGAAGGGAACTGCTTACAAAAAGCAAGTGGAAGATGAGGAGGAAGATGACGAAGAGGAATATGAAGAGGTTAGGCTTTCCTCATATCTTGGCTATTAATAAAATTTGTTTTGATTAGAATTTTTATCGCTTATGTCTAGACATCTTAATTTCAGTTCGATAACTAATGTTAGTTTATTACTCTTGGAAATTCAGACACCAGAAAATGGAGCAAAATGTTTTTTATCTTAATACTGACAGAAAGTAGCTCTTGGCTAGACATAGGGAAAAATGCTTCATTGATGCAGTACAATTACACAACAAGGTATGACTTGACAGATATGCCCTGAAAATCACTATTGATGATCACTTTTTAGCTCCAAAATGAATACAACCTGGTTGTAGTAGTACAATCAAAATAATTTGAAGAAATTTGTAAGAAATTGTAGCTATTGAGGTCTGTCTTTTCTGTCGAGGAAACTGGTACGACTATATGCAACTTAAAAGAAGCCAGTGTAAATCAAAACTGGAGTGTCTGGTGGTAGACTATGTTCAGACTATTGTACACATCAGACATTTTCATTAAACTTGGAATTTCCATACAAGCAAACTTTTTGTCCGTGAAACTTCAGGGACAGCTGATATAAAACTAAGATTTAATTTATATTGTAAAGCATTGTAGCCTTTTCAAATTTCAAACATTTAGTAAACAAAACTGGTGTTCTTTTAATCAATACTACAATCAACAAAATGGCAATGATTTGAATGTACCAATGTGAAGGGTATTTCTGATTTCCCATTTTAACATGGTAGTGCAAAAAAAAGTAAAGGGATTTCAATCAATTACAGTGAAACCTATTCAGACCACCTTTGGGACGGCTGTAAGTAGCCAGATGGTCTGAATAGCATGGTTTTTGTTTTTCATAGCCATCCAATGATGAAATTGCTGTTATTGCATGAAGAAACAAATTATATTTGGGTAGATGGTTTGACACCTGAATACAGCTGACTAATCTAAAACCAGACCTGGTAGATGTACACCTTCAAATACACACGTGCTAAAAAAGTTCAATATCTGGTCAATTGGCTGAACAGTGAGGTTCAGTACTTTATCGGGTCTTATTTGTGATATGGGCTGAATAATAGAGACTTTAAGAGGGATTCTTTAGGACCGAAATGGAATGGTCTAAAATGGCCATGGTCTTAATTTTAAGGTGGTCTTGCTGTAGATGTAAATTCAGCTACTTTGGAGTAGAGACCATATTTGTACTTCTTTATTATTCCATCTTTCTTGAGGTTTTTTTATAAGGTCATTGATTTATTTCAGACAACTTTCAGACAAAGTCTTTGACATTTTGACTCTGTACATGGAATTCAAGCTGTGACAAAACATTTTTTAATACATATCAGACACTGATGATTGCAATGGAAACTTTTTATGTATTTGTCACATTAGCAAAACTTTTGCTTTTTAATTATTTTTATCTGTAAAAACAGAAAAAATCTAAGCTTATGGTCTGAATATATATATTTATATATGAGGAATTTGTCTTTTACAGGAGGATGAACACAGGTCCAAGCAGGTAGTGACGGACATCCGCATTACCTTTAATGATTCCCCACGAAGGGGTCGCGGGGGAAGGAGGCCTAGGGGTGGCCGAGGAAGTCGAGGCGATCGTGGAATGGGACGCGGAGAAAGAAGAGGTGGCCCTCGGGAATCCGCACCCAAATTTGACGACGAGAATGATTTCCCAAGCCTCGTCAAGGCCTGAAATGGCAGCTCTTTTCTTCTTGATAAGGGCATTCCCCTGAAATTTTCAGTGTGTAATTAAATAAACTCCCATCTCATACTGGAGGACATTTTGGAATGAAAGCGAGCTGGTGGGCACAGCATACCATTTTTGGTTTCTGGATACTTTTTCACTGATGCATCTTTGCATTTGTTTTTATATGACATTTGTTAAAGATACTGTATAATGATGATCGCATTTCTGTATCAGACAAGATACTGATCATGGTTCAACAAATCTGTATTTCAAGATACAGTCGTGATTGCAGTTCCAATTTTAATACGAAGGAAGATTGCATTTGATGGAGCTCATTCAACCTTTTATAACCGAAAGGAAAGCAAGCAGGGACGGGATCAGTGTTCATTTGGAACACAAATTAGTTGTGATAGATCAATTACTTGTTGTTCAAATACATGTATTTTCTAGTACCAAATTTGTCTTGATGTACTACGTGCTGCATAGGTAGTGCTTCAAGATTAATATATTTATTTGTTCTGGAAACATTTATGGAGCTGTACACACCCACTTTTCACAAGCCAAGCCATTGGAGGAGTTGGGACTAATGCTAATGAACTCTTATATGGCATTGTGAAAGTATTCCTACTGTGCAAACCCATTTTGACATTAATTTGATGGGCGTGCAAGTTCGATATTAAATGCATTTTCATCAGATTGGATCATGAAGAAATCACTATTATCCTTAAGCTTAAAACCTTGATTCTAATGGCCGTTGAACCAGTCATAAGATGCAGCAAATCAAGATATCAGTATTCCAAATCTAGTAAGAAAAATTAAAAAGATTAAAAAGTGCTGATAGTTGTGATTTGTAATCCACATATATTTCATGGATATCTGTATAATTTGATTTAGCTGCATCCAACGAGATTAAGAATTTATCAGCCATACTGAAGGGCATCTTATTTGGCATTTCATTTGTATGAATGATAATAATTTGGCCTTGAATTTTGCCTTTCATTGTGGGACATATATAAAACTACCTGCATTTATTTATTTCCAACATTTATAGTTGTAGCATTTTAAAATTACAACCACCATCATTTTACAGATTTGTGCCAAAGTCATTTTGACACCAATCTGAATCACTTCATTCCTAGGCCACTTCATTACATGGGAGAACATTTTATAATAAATCACTTTCCAAATAGGATTATTATGCCTTGTTTTGACTTGTAATGGGTAAAATTTTGGGCCTGTGATTGATGTTGTTTTAGTCTCGGTATATATCTGAATGCAAGTTTAAGAAACATAATCCAGTCAAAGAAAAATTAAAGTATCTGAGGAGAGGTGAAGAATGTGTATGGCCGTAGTAAAAGCTTTGTCCGTCCAATGAATGGCTAATTATTTTAATGGTCATCATTGAAAAAGCATCCTATAACTTTCGGTAGGACTGATGGGTCATCAACTCGCTCGTGCTGCCAAAAGTTTCGCTAAAAAAGTTTTCGTCCTGATTAGGGAGTACTTTACCAGCAGCAGACGTGCCTGTTGGAAAGGTATGCTTCTGTTGCATTAGAATTTTCATAGTTTTCAGGTCTGTTTATTTTAAGGTTCTGTTAGTTTTCATTGTCGATACATTTTACCCTATTTTACTCTGTATAAAAGATTTGTAAAATTATATGAAATAATGCTATATCAGGATGTTTTTTGAGCTGAAGTAGCAGTCCCTTGATTTTGGAGAGGAGTTGATGAGTCTTCATTTCTATAGAAACTCCCATTAGTTTGACTGATCCATACCATGAATGTCTGGTTGGTAGCATGCCAAGTAAGATTCCTTAGCTTTTTAAATATGTTTTGCTATTAAATCTTGGATTAAATTCTCGAATATTTAATCAAAAGAATTTGTGTAGTTACTACATGTATATTTTTTTTCAATTTAGCATTGCAATTTGTTATGGACACTAGATTACAAAATTTCATTACCTTGAACTGTTAGTACAGGTCACTGACCCAATTACTTCATAATGGAAAAAGGAAGATCGTATTAAGTTGTCTTTCCAGAAGACACTTGTAACTTCTTGACAACCATAATTATTGGTCTGGATCTAAAGCTCCAGTATGCATTTTGAAGATGAAGAAAATAACTTCATATTTGGGGATCTGTCGACACTAGTGAAAGTTTGAAGGATTGAAAAAATAGACTGGCAAGTATTGTGTAAACAAACGCGTGCATTTGTAGAAGGTAATTCCTCTGCAAAACATAAATGCATTTTGAAGATAGAAGGGAGGTAACTGCATCTCCAGGGAATACAACTTGCGGTGACCGGCTTAGTGTCCTTGCTTACACTGAAGTTCAATATTTCTGATTTCAAAACCAATGGTAACGTTGCTGCCTGAGAGACATCTACCGGGTCCAATTGTCATAGTTAGTGTTAAAGTTGGTCTTGCTAAAGGAATATTGATAATTCTTGAACGTAATATATAACAAATTGGTTGAAGGGAAATGTAGGTAAGTTTTAACGTTTCATAGCATCAAACTGAATAAGGCCGACAGCTCTCTTGGGGTAAAATGTTCAAAGTCAGCGATGGAGTGCGATTTCATCAGAGGAATAAAAAGGCAAGTCTGCGATTATTAAATATCAAACGTAAGGTTATCAACATAAAATGTGTCTGGATGAAAGGTGAAATATTTGAAATGGGGGGGGGGGGGGGGGGGGGTCAGATTGAAGATGTATCAGAGACCGGGACCTCGAGTAAAATGGTAAGAATAGGTGTGGCTGAAGATGTGAAGCGATTAAGAATCCGGAAATTTAAAAAAAAAATCAAAAATTAAAACGTTGACTGGAGTAAGGATGCACTGGAGAGAAACTTGTTCAGCAGCTTGTTATATGTGCTATATATTTGTCAACAAAGCATGAAAGGGGTAATAGTAAATCCACGAATTTATGTATTGCTGGACAGTCCATCATCACGGAAGCTTCGAAATGTACGGGAAATGCGCATGTGATATTTAAATAGACCTTTGGGCCAAATATATCCAAGCCGTTTTTACAATCGCCCAACCACAAGAAGTTGTCCTTTTGGTTTTGAAATTGATTATAAAATAAACTCGCCAACAGACAGTCTATACACAGACTTCCTTGATTTAGACCATGAAAGTTTAAACCTCTCCCCGAGAAAAAACTTGTCCCGTATGAAGGTTCGTCTTGATCCCTGGTTGTGCTCGTTTGATACTTAATGATTTCCCTACAGGTGACCACACTGGAATTTGATGGTGAAAGATCACCTTTGCTATTTCTAGAGGGAAAAAGGAAAGTTTCAAATCGCATATTTCTTATCAAGAAAAAAAGAATGAAGAAAGTTCAACCCTTAAAGAACATCTCGAGATCAAATGAAAATGGGCGTCAATATCACTTTGTCCATTTCACGAGGTTTATTGAAGGTAGGTCACTGGAACCTGATTCATCGTACGCCAGGTATGTATAATGCAGAATTCTGCAGCAAGACCACAGACAGCGGATATTTGAACACAGAAGTTAATTCGATAAAAAAAATACTTTAATTTTATATTAAATTTACAGATATTAACTGTAAATAGGCGACTATATTTGTTGAAATGAGTTAATGCACATTCATGAGGTTGCTGTTATATCCGTTGAAGTTTGGAACTATTTCTTTATCTCATGGAGTAGTTAGTGTGTTTTTACAAAATCCATCGTAACGTCAACGTGAGGTAGAACAACAAACCGTTCCGATAGTCTTGGTTTTCAATAAATGTTGCAGTAACGCAAGACAATCTTTAATGTGCACACCATAACGATGAGTGATCATTTTGCTTAGCACAATGATGTTTGGCGTTTTATATTATGCTACCACCCGTTCTGGAGGGAAATGCAGTTTGGCAGTGCGCATTCACACATGGTGACCCGCTTCTCAAGCCATAGCATTTCTTCCACGACCTTTCCTAAATGGACAGCAAATCTTGACGTTTCTTTGTTTGAAACTATTTGTGGGAAAATCTTTTCATTTTGAACGCTATTATGAGTCGCTGTGGAAGGCTAGCTTGAATTTCATGTGCATAGAAACAAAAGAACACATAAAAATGTCTAAATGGAGAATGTACCAAAACACGATAGATAATGCTTTTCTTTTTAATCTTTTGTCCCAAATCAGGCACAACATTGACTTACATTAGAAGTTATTTTTTATAGGCTCAACTCATAGTATTTTGAGACTTTATACAAGAAAAGTTTTATTTCGTTTTCCCTACTCGCATACTGCGTTGCAACCGATTAATCACTTGAAAATAACACGTATGAAATAGTAGCTCCCAAGTCAGTACCTGAGAAGGGAGACAAATCGTATATCTCTACAGTCATGTTTACGAATTTTAAAAATTCACGGGCAATTGTAACAACCGGAACAAAATATTTATGGTTTACTGAACGACAGACGTTTTGAAACATAGCTAAATAACGATTTATAACTTAAAAGAATACATCCGAGCTCGGTCAGTTCGAAATCAATATCTTAATTCGAGGTGATCCGGATTCAATTCGGAATTTGTTTCAATTTTAGTCTGCGTAAGACAAACGTTAGAATGATCGAGACAACGTAAACAAACTAGTTTATCTGGTGTAATGACTGTGATGTGATGTAAATATACCTTACAATTACGTGTAGCAGCATGACGGACATTGACATCGTAAGGCAGAGATGGCAAGACGTCAACAAAGAAATGAATGTGCCAGATACTGTCGCTGACAGATGGTGGGGTGTTATAAGAGATTTCTATAGTGAACCAGTCCGGCGCTACCACACACTCCAACACTTACGAGAAATGTTTTTACACTTCAAATTTTCTGGAGATCACTTCACATTCGTCGACCCCCGCCTGGTTATATTAGCAGTATTTTTTCATGAGTACATACAGATATTTTTCTTGTCCATTTTTTGTTTCAGATTTCTGAAGTTGGATAGTTAGACAGGTTTGGCAGTCCAGAATTTGAATAAGTTATTATTGCTTTGAGTAAGAAATTTGTTACGCAAATGCGGGATCATTTGACATAATAACACAACAAGCTTTTCATACAGTTGAAAAAAAGAACGTCATATTTTTTTATGAGGACCAATATCCAATGAGACATCAGGTATTTGCACAAGAAATATCATTTCTGTTGTATCTTTGTGCTAAAACTGACAATTTGTATCACCGATTTGCTCTCCACTGACTACAGTGTATGGTCATTGTCATAGTGCAAATGGCATTGCAAGTGAGGGTGAACTTACCATGCTCTATTTTTAGCCACATTATAGGCATTGGATGTGAAAAAGTGAAAGTTGTGATTTTTTTAAAACAAAAAGCCAGTAGTATGGATAGATTTCTTGATTTATGTTTTACATTACCATTAGACTGGTGGTGTTTTGGAAATGTTAACCAGTTTGTGTAAATGGTGGGTCTGCCCCACCCATCTCCCACCTCACATTTTCTTTAAAAGCTATCTTGTTCTTTAGGAATTGCAGGATATTGTCCAAAATTGGTCTGAAGCATGCTTGGATGAAAAGAAATCAGTTATATAAATGATGGGTCTCGGCCCCCAGGGGCAAGATGGGCAGAGCCAAGTAGGAAAAATCTGTCAATTTCTATAAAACTATCTTGTTCTTCAAAAACTTAATGAGCATTGCTGGACATCAAGAGATGAACAACTGATCTCTGGCCCCACCCCTAGAGAAGTTGAACCTCTATCTGTGGGTGACACTCTTGTAGGGAAATATTTTTCTTCTAGTGAAATGCAAAGTTTCCATTATTAACTTAATTATCCAGGTTAACGATACAGGCCCTCTGTGCCTCTTGTCCCTGGAATGATTTGACATATATGTTTTTTAGTGCATTGACTTTCTAAGTAATGCATCACCTACCCATCATCTATGTGAATTATGAAAGTAATGTTATATTGTTGAAATATTAGCTTTATTGACATTTTCAATGAACATATGTAGAATAATACAGCAGTTTGTGTCTCTATAGGAGAGCTTGTAAACTTTGATGAAACTGTTCAGAGGAATTACATTACTTTGAGGGTTAAAAGATGTATCACTGAGCGATTAACATGATAGCTTCTGTTTCCATGCTTTTCTCTCCCCTCTTATTTTAATTAGAAAGAATTCATCCTTTTGAAAGTTTTTTTTTTGTTAGAGTATCCTCCAGGATATAAACAGGACATCAATCTAACACTACATGTTGGCTTCTTTTCTTTATTTCAGTATTATTTATGAACCAAAAAAGCCTGACAACGAAGAAAGAAGTGCAGACAAATTTAAAGAGTATGCTACAGAAGTTGATGTTCTGGTAGGTTTCTGTGAAGGGTCACTATGTCCATAGGTCTTCCCAAGTAAGTGGATGTTCTGATGTGTTTCCAGATGAGACCAATCCACTGACATTTACAGTGTATTAATGATATACACTTCTCATCAACCTGTTGATATCAAATAAGGAAACACCCTGTATATTAGAGTTTTTTTTGTCTGTATACATGTTGTGATATTCATGTTGTTTTTAATGAAGTTTCTTTGTAACTATTTTATAAAATAGCAAATAGAATTGAGAAATATAATTACAATAGGACAAGGTAGATTAATATCTCGTATGCAATTTGAGATAGTTTACCTAAGCAGAGAGACTAAATGGTCACACGTTAATGTACCAGTTTTATACAATTTTCAAAATAAACTAATTGATGTAAGGGAACAAGCATGTGCAATACGTGAGTTTAGGGGCTCTAGCTTATAGATATTAGAGATTTTTAACGACGAGACAATTTGAGGATGTTGTGAAACATTTTCTTTTGGCTGGTACATGTATAGAGGATAGTAGTTATTGTATCACAACATGTAAACAAAGTTGACAGCACATTCAAAGAATTTGTCTACACACATCCAAAACTCTTTTATTATCTTCTTATCTCACCACCACTTACACTAGAAGTTGAGATACGATATTATCATCACAGAACAACAGGACAAAACAAAATCACCTTTTTGTCATGTAAAACATATGGATATCATGAATCAGCAACTCAAAGAATGAATAAGTGAAAAAAAAAACTTGAAATGCAAGAGAGACAGAGAGAAGAACCAAATACAAAAACAAAAAATTGAACAGAGAAGACTAGTAATTATTCCAATATAGAAAGGTAATCATTGACTTACTAAAAGATAAATGGTGTTCATGGTCTCACAACAGCAGTGAAACATCAAATTAAACACTGAAAGAGTGCGTTGCAGAATCTGTATACAAAACAGGATGAAAGTACTGGTAAATTTGGGGTCCTAATTACTAAAGATCTGGCTAAGGTTGCTGAAAAGCTGGTTAAAGATAAAGTTGTAAAGATTTTCCAAAATGAATCAAACAAAATCAGGAACCTTCTTTATCATTTCACAGATGCTGATTTGCTGCAACAGAATGATAAGTGTTTAATTTATAACACCCTCGTTTTTCAGTGGCAAAAAAAATTGAATTTTCAGTCATTAACTTACCTTTGGGTAACCGGGGCCAGAAAAATAGGGAACCCCAAGAAAGCAGCAGGAAAGTTACCAGATTGGAGCATAGACAGATCAATGATTTAGCACAAGAGTATAGTGTTCAGTGGGACAGTACATCATTACCACCCAATGTGTGTCAGGAAGATCACCAATTCCAGCTCATTCCACTGTAATCTTATCAGGTTTCCTCACATTATATTCCTACTTTTAGTTTACCTCAGTGCATGATGGTAACAATATTGCCATCAAAACGTTGCACTAATAGATTCTTTACTTTTTTTTATATTTATTTCATTTTTAAAGTTTTTTGTCATAAATAGAGGGGGAGAGAGAGAGAGATCTGGGTTAGAGATGAATGACACCATAAAAAAAAATGAAAAATACTTAAGGGCCAAGTTGATGATTAATGTATAAAACATAAATTATAATTGGACTTCTGCAAAACCAAAAAAATTTTCCCATTTTCCCCAAACATTTTCAAACTCAGTTTTGCCTGCTCTCCTTTTCTATTGGCTAAATATTTTTGAAAATTCCTTCATGTAGTTGATCAGGGCATTTAGACTTAACACTTTGTGTTGACATCTGGTTCTATATATATATAATTTAATGGTAATTAAGATCTCATCATTAAGGCCGTTCATGATCCTCAGAAAATCCAAAAATAAAACTTCCTTTATTGAATGAGAATTGGAATGAGAACTGCATCTAGTATAAATTCAATACTTTCTAAAAAAAATTCTTTCTAGATTACAAAATGAAGTGTGGATTATTTAAAACTTTTACATATAAATGAATGAATTATATAGTGTCTTTACTTGTGATATAACAATTTGCATCATTGTTGGTATATAAGCAATTTTTTTATGAAATGTCAATGAGAAAATACGTCTCTTATTAAATCAAAGCTCAATGTGTAAATGTTCAAACATACCCCTATGTTCTCAGAAACGAAACTTGTTAAGTATGATGAATATGACTTTTTCCTAGTGTAACGTTAGGTTACATATATGTAATTCATTTATTTAACTATTTTTACAAGACGTTATTGTGTTTTTAAGTCTTGTTAATTATGGGGCTGCTGCACCTCCCCTTCTGGATTTTGACTTTTCTTTCGACCACTTTGAAATTTCATAACTCGTTTTTTAGACTTCAAAATTTAGGCCCTTAGCATTACTGATGTATCCTTCAAGGACGAAACAGCAGTATAATGCAGTTTAATTCTTACTTGGCTCCACTGTATCAAAATTTGTATTAAATGGGGCTGTTCACGTGCGAGTCTTTGGTACAATCTTTCAGCTAGTCGGTGTGTTGGTACTTTGAGTTTGAACGTTACTGATAGGAAGTGTTACTTTCACAGCAACCAACAGTAAATTAATTTAAAGAAAATGCTTTTCTTTGTTGTAGTCTGACGCAGACTGCAAGAAAGTGAAAGACTGGATAATGATGACGAAATGTCACTCGGCAGGGACGGGAGATAATTCAGGCGACGAGCACTACTTCCTAGATATGGATATGGCGGTGCTGGGAAGACCAGAGACAGGTTGGTCATTGTATACATCGTATACATATGCTAGCGGAAGCATTTGGTAAATTGAAAAAGGTGGTCATTTACTTCATCTGAAAAAAGGACGCCCCATGTCAAATGGACATTAATTAACAAAAATTCTTGCAGGTATTCTCATGGAAAAAGATGTTAGATACTGTAAGCCAAATAAATTGTCTACATGTCTGCAAAGTACAATACTAGTTCTTTGTTCACTCGAGAATGTGGCATTTACTTTAACTAAGATTGCATAAGGAGCGTCGTAGTGAAGCAGAAGACGTCTATAGGCCCGTGTTTAAAACGAGGCAGAAAATGTCTACCGTTCCGTGTTCGACGAAGCAGAAGACGTTTTACCATTCGGTGTTCGATGAAGCAGAAGACGTTTTACCATTCGGTGTTCGATGAAGCCGAAGATGTCTACCATTTGGTGTTCGATGAAGCAGAATACGTTTACCGTTCCGTGTTCAAAGAAGCAGAAGACGTCTACAGGCCCGTGTTTAAAACGAGGCAGAAGATGTTTACCGTTCCGTGTCCGTTGAAGCAGAAGACGTTTTACCATTTGGTGTGCGATGAAGCAAAAGACGTTTACCGTTCCGTGTTTAATGATGTAGAAGACACAATCCCCTCTACCGTCTAAGAAGTAGGAAGCGGAATACAACTTTATTGGTGAAGCAAAAGACGCCTGCCCTTCCCTCCAGGAGCATTTTGACTTATTCATGTATTTTTTAAGCATCTTCGTGATAATCTTTCCGTTGTTCCTCTTTTGCCTTCGCTCTATCGAGTTGAGTTTGAAAGATTTTGTTATTTATATCGGAATTTTCTTATTGATGTTGGATGTGAATAACTCTAGGACATATATCTTAGATGTTCTCTAAAAAAATCATCAAACTGATACATCTCCATTTCAGACTACGACCAATATGCAACCCAGATACGGGCAGAGTATATTCATGTTCCAGAAGAAGTTTACAGATCAAAAAGAGCTCAGGTAGGGTATGAATTCATGTGCTGTACAATATAAGTATACTCACATTTAAACATTGTGATTTTAAATGATAAATTATGGGCTTCGATAAAAGCTACACATTTGAAGACAATCAACCATGTTCTCTTATACCCCAAAATATTTTTAATGGGAAAAGGGATTACGGACGTGTTAAACTGTAAAACAAATCTCCTTTATAGGTAATGTTATAGACACGCGCAGCATCAGTGGAATATACATTGTCATTACAGATATTGGAAGACTTCTTGACGAGATTACCTTTATTCAGCACCAGACTGTTTCAGGAACATTTCGAAGAGAAAGCGAAGGCGAATTTAAGACGTGAGATTGCTAGACTTCGTGACAACTCTATTCAACTGTAAACTAGGCCCAAGACATCAACAAACAACGAATTAAAAACAAAATAACTTTTTTAATTACAATTTCACGATATTTTGGCATGGATGATTTTGACATCGGACATCAAGCATGGACTGTGATAATATGGAAACAATTGTACTCTAAAAAGCGGAAGATTTTCTCACTTGTGCAATATATATGTATATATAGTTTAACTACAGTTAAATGTGGGTATTTTCACACATAGGGTTCAGACACGGCGATAAATGGGTGTATATGACATCATCATTTCGAACTCATTGAAATTTTGTTTGATTGTGCATGGATATTTATATAAGAAAACAAATATTGTTCAATTTCATCAAATGTTTGTAATCTACAATGAAAGATTTTCTATATACTTCCATTTTATTGTTGTAAACAAATCATTTTCTTTTTCACTATAATATATTTGTTTTTAAAAATAGATCCATGGTTGTAAGTAGCGAATACATGTTCTTTCCAGTAGGATGTTGAAATGAAAGTCCTACATGTAAACAGCTAATACACATTGGGTCACAGCGATGTTGATGACACTTGATCAGAACATAACCTTTGCTAGCTGTAAGGAAATCCTGGTTGAAATGTTTGTCTCCATTAGACCAGATATGTGAGCTATGAGGTTGCATTGTACAGGATGATTAGTAGTAAGGCGATCTGGTCACTCAAAGTATACAGCGTACACAGTACCGACAGCGAAGATGTGCTTGTTATGGAAGGACGCGGCAGCATAGTTGTCACGGTCATGGTCCCACAGATAACGGCTTCCAATCCGCACGCCCTGGTCATTCTTCTGACCTATGGTCACCATGCACACCGTCTTGTACCTGTAACAATAGAAAATATTTTAATTTGTATATGAATGCTTGACATACTCAAAAATAAGTAAAACTGAACCAGTTAACTGTAAGTTTTACAATCAACCCCGAAACTTCCAGCATACAAACGATTAAGGTGTTTCATTTAAATTATAACCAACTCTATTGCTTTGTTTGAAAATAAAACTAAAAAGTATAGGTTCAGTTGTCAAATAAACAACCCTTAAACATAAGGCTACTGCTATTGAGATTGTGACGCGGACATCGCTAACCAAACAGACTAATGGGAAAACAATCTTGTCTTTGACAGAAATGCATCATCGTTTTATTACAACTAGCAACGAGATGAGATAAGCTGAAGATGCAGAGCTTTCATTTTCATATGTGGGAATTCAGCATATAAAAAGAGGAATGTAGAATTCCAATAATTTAGTCTGGAGACCACCCATATGCTGAGATACACATAGTGTAAACTTGACGAGGGAGAGAGAGGATAGATATGGAATCCGACTGACACCCTCTTGACAGAATCGCGATTCCACTGCAAATGGACAAACACGGTTACGGCCGACTCCGTTTGCATTGTATTGCACCATACAAATTCCGGTAGCAGTGAGTCCAGTCTCACCAAACAGGTTGCTAATACATGGAGCTGTGTGTGTCGTCATGTCAGATATGAAAATGTAACATGATAGTGTAGAGGAAACAAAGAGACTTTTATGGGTAACAAACTGTGTTAGAGCCGACCGTGGAATGGAGAAAGTGAATAAATTAAGCTTTGAGGTTGGGATAATTACCTCACTGAGAAATATTCTAATTCCTTGCGCGATATGAAGTATGTTTGATGCTCATTGGTTTGCCTAGAGTTTCGATTGTTGTTTACCTTGTTCTCACTTTGGAAACGTAACATTGCTTACTTGGATTTACCTTTATTTACATAGCAATGTCGCAGTTGAAGCAGAAGACTCTTTCGGAATCTCCATAAAGATCTTTCTTCCGTTTATAGTTTGCTCAAGTTTTATCGAATTTGAAATTGGATTAAGATTCTGTTGACATGTTAGTATTTTCTTTGCTTTAGAGAAAATGAAAAAAAAAGAATAGTAGAACTTAGTTTGGGAACATTATGAGAAATAATACAACAGAAAATCTCATCTGCAACTTTTTTATTGAACACCCGTCTCGGGAACTTCAGAACGATTCCTGCGTTGAAAGGACCATTGAAGGAGGGAACCCATGAAAAAACCAAATGTCATTGTATTTACCAAAGTGTCTTAAAGTCACGTAGGGTATTTTCTTGTTGTCCATTCATAAATTCGTTTAAAAAAATAAACAAACAAAATATAACAAAAAACACCCGAAAAGTTCCCGAATATACACAGATCGAATTATGTAAGAACTCATTCTATCCCATGCATTTCGACGAAAGGACAGTGAAAATATTATTTAAGGAATTTTATCTAAACTTATCTCGGTACGAATATTGAAATTTAAACTTACCTTTTAAAATTGAGTTCTTTGACTTTAAGTTTAATCTCTTCGGCCAGAGATTTCGACAGGAGTGAGCATTCTATAGCGTCATACTTCCGCCCTAAAGAAAGAGAAGAAATGAGTTACGGAACACATGAAATATCGCAGGTAATACAGCTTGGAATGTGCTGCTTTTCATACACATAAACAAAGTGATGCTCATAGAGTATGAGTTTCATGTACTGTATTATTTAACCAAAAGTACAAAATCATAGTTAATAAACAATGGGAACGTTACAAAGTTTTCAAACTAATTCGTTGCTTCATGGCACAATTGTATTCTATCGGCGATATTGAAAGTGTTTGCTGCTTGTAATACCTTCCAGATTTGTGTTGAGAATGTCCTGAATGATAGGAGTTATCTTGTCAGCTCTGAATTTTTTAGGTGGATCTAGTTGGTAAGTGTTCTCGTAAAATACCTGGAATGAGAAAGGTATGTGGTTAGATAAATCAAACAATATTCTAAAATATCTTGGTTCAATCTGAACTTTTGCATTTCGGACATCAACAATTTAGGACCTTAGTGTCAGCGTGTCATAGAAAGATGAAATAGCTTTATGATGCAGATATGTATTTGCTTTGTTGTATCTGATGTATTTAGTACTTTCTTTCTTAGTCATTCGAACATATCTCCAACTGAATGCTGCATCGAGAGAATACCAAGGTACTATGATGGAAGAGACGCAGAAACATGCGTTGGTGCACAAGGTTTTACCAAAACTGTTCCCGAGTCGCCAATACAATTGACTGGGCTCTACACCAATGGTATATTCAGATATACATGTTTAACAGGAAGTTTTCGCTGTAAAAGATTAGTTTTTTTTATGACTGATTTAAAAGTCTGCGAAATTGGTGACAGGTGATGAGCGTATTTTTTTTTATCTCTGCAGTAGAAATTCGCAATGTTTTTCATTATTATTACTTTCTATTTTTTCCCCGTTTCTCAGAAAAAATATATAGTTGCCTGGTGGTGTTTTTTTTCCTTTTATGTGTGTGTGTTTTTCTTGAAGGCATTTGCACATGCGAATGAAGAGATCAACTAAATTGGTTCTTGTCAGGTTTCTCTGTTACATTTTCTAATGAAATTCTAGGAATCCAAAACTACGCTTTATCATTTTCGAGTCGGTATTTTTCTTTCTATTTTGTATTATCAACCATGAAATAAAACCACAGAATATGGCTCACTGAACTGAATTGAAACGAATTAAAAAAAAATATGTCCATTTCATAACTTACTTGAAATGTACATCCCTTTGAGCTATTTGTAAAACGACGTAAATATGAATTATCGGGAAAAAAACAGTCAGTCAATTTACAATCTTCTTGGTTCTTTCTTTGTACCATCAGATCGGACACTATACTCAAAGGTGGAGTAAATTTGAATGTGCATTTTGATGAACACATTGGAGTTTTTGTCAGCCTTAAAACATTCTCTCACCAAAAACCTATTGGAAGAAAGACCAAAAATGTATCCCTAGTGGATAACCGTCTGATGGGTTTTGTTGTTATCTAAGGTACACTTAGTAACATATCAGTGTATGTAACGAAGATCTTAAATCTCTCTTTTAGATACGTATATGGATAATGTACTGCTTTTGAATAGTAAAAATTTAATGGACCATATCGAACGGATATACACTAAATTGAATTCATAACGACAGTCTCCATTAGCCGCTGGCTATGAAACCAGTTACAGACATGTTGCATACTACACAGCTTTATAGTAAACGTTGTTTTTCTTGTTCTTTTCCCTTTTCTGAATGTTCCATTTCTAGGTAGCATCAAGCCGGTTTATAGTTTACATGTCGAATTTTATTCGATATTCTAAAACTTGTTCTAAATATCACTAGGTCTATGATGAATGTCAACAACAGACAGGAAAGCATGCAAACCAGGATTCGAGAGATGCTGCTTGTTGCTTTTAACCAGGTTCTACACTAATTAGTTTGATCTAGATTTTCATCCAACGTGTTGTCACTCTCGGTGAATATTAGTTCATGTTTTGACCTCGTTTCTCTGATTTTGACGTTGGTGTACATTTTGTTTACACATCGATGTCATTTGTCATGAAGTTTTGTTATAATGTGACTATCACAAAAATAGAGTTCTTGGCTGAACATTAAGTCACAATCCATTGTATTGATATTTCCATGTTTCACTTCCATTAGTTCCAAACCGGGAACGAGGAGTAACCATAGTTTTTGTGTTGTTTGTGTCTCCTTCCGTCTTTCTCACTTTATCATGTCCGGGATTGACAATGTCATTGGACGTTCAAATTTTCGACATGGGTCAACCTAAGTGAGGCGATGTGTCGTATCAAAAGTAGAACTATTTCAAAGTTTCGAAATTTACCTAATCAGTTGACGCGTAAGTGTCATAAATAAAACACTACGCAAATCAACAGGACATAATGCTTGTATTCTGGAAAGTACTAGAATGATGATCAAAATTTTGGAGAGTAAATATTGACAAGTATTACTACGGTTAGTGTTATATAAGAGAAGAATAAACAAATGTTTTGGTTGGTAAATATTGGTTATCAGTCAACCTTACGAAGTTGTTCTAAGAAACGTGTTAAAATTATATTCATTTAGACATTAAACTCTCGAGAATAGCTTTATTTTCCCATTACGTGTATCGAGTAATCTGTCTTCAAACAAATCGGGTGATGTAATTACACCAAGACGGTCATTATCACAGCTTGTCTCCAAACAGACGGTTCGTTACCCTGGTAACTGATGACGCTACTCCAGAAAAAAATCGATATTGGCAGGAGACAGGTGAGCCATCAGATGTTGATGGATGTTGGGAGGTCCTCATTTGATCAAATGATAATGTGCTACACAGAATGGCTGTAGATCAGTGCCGACTCAAACACACATCTTGAACTCAGGTTGCTAATACCAGTATATATGCATATATACACAACCACCCACACATATTTATAGATGTTTGAGGTTGGTAATTTGCATTGAAATTCGTTTGTGATCATAACAAGTCTACTTTTTAAATATCTGACAAACATGCTGAGAATCTACAGCTGAGATTTGTTGACCTTATCATCGTATAATGTTAATAGTAGACAAATGTATGTATAGAACAAAATGACTATCAGTGATTAAAAAATCGTAAGCAAATGCAAAAATATGACAAAGATTCTTTTGAATAAGATAAAATTCTGTATATATTGAACTATTTACGGTATTGCGAGAGTTGACAGGTCTCGATCTATTATTTATGGTAAGTGTCTCGTAAAGATTTGTTTAGCTGGATAAAACATGCCATCACTGTAAACACCATATCGACATCCTTAGCAGCACAGGAACGGCTGTATGGATGGAATTTATTAAATCACATTGCTATGTACAACATGTTCTTTTAAAAACTTTTAAAAAAGATAAATATTAGAATTTTTAAAAGGAGAATTGTAATATAAGATGGTGATCGCTCATAATGAGAAACCAACACATAGCAACTGTTTTTTCCATGGTTACCTGGAAACAAAGTATAACAGTCAAGTATTGTTCTTACCTTTTTCATGGATCTTGTGTCATCCTGGCTGGGATCACAAGCATATGATATGACACTAGACCCTGCTGCATGAATCCTTTTTTCAGGTATATCAAAGAAACTGGACACTTTGGCCCCGAGTGGCCTTCCGCTCATGGTGTGGTGAGTTGCTGTGTTAAATCCAGTAGTCAAGCAATGATGTACCTGCGAACTGTAAAGCATCCTTCTCTACACCAATCGGTACATGAGCATTTACTTATAACGTTCCTAGTTAATTGAAGACCAAAGGACATAATTGGAAATAGAGGGAAACATGAAATTCACATTGATTTACGTATAAATAATGTTATTTGGCACTGTAGCGTAGCGACACCCTAACTGTCCGTTCTGTGAGGCGATTGATTGTGTTGGGTCCGAGTGAACAAGTGTCTGCTATCATACTGTAATCAACATGAACACGATGTGTAATAATGGCAGGTACATGTGTTAATTTACGACACCAGTAACAAGTCGTCTTCAACGTCTGCTCTGTAGTGTTGGCCTAACAGATGGCCTGTCCATTACCGCATTAATGCATTGTTCTCTATCGTAAAGGATCGGAAAGTGGTCTGGTACTAAAAGGGTGTGTCGAACGTAGGTGGCGCTCACATTGATATATATTAATGTAAATTAAATACCTAGTAGCCATGGTCCGGGTTAAATGCACCACGGACATTGACTCGTTCTATGACAATGAGGACAACGTTCTCAGTAGAAAAAGACTGATTTCTGGTACCAATGTTACGTCAGGTAGTCGTGTCATTTCTTATATTAAGACCGATACAATGTCTAACAGGCACAGGTTGTATTTTGCTCTTCTATAGATCATGTTAAGATTTCCATGGAATGATGAGAGTCTACGTAGTCGATACTCCAGGAAAAATATGTTTTAAGTATTGTTAACGAGGACATTTTGCTGTAGTTAACTTTCGCACGTTTCGCCTTTTTTTTTCTTCCAAAGAAGCGAAATACATCACGCCTTAAGTTTGATGGTATTTTTCAAAATGTAATTTAGGTTTGAAATTAATATTTCTATGTGAAGCTGCAAACAAAGCTTGAAAGAAGAGGGCAATTGACACTTAACTATGATTATCTCTGAAATAGTTGTGCCATTTATACTAAAAACATAAATCAGAACATTTTACTTAGATTTAGTAGCCTTCCTACTAAGATTTGGTTGCCGGTCAACGCTGCTGAGATTTGTTGAGGATTGACCAAAGACCTCTGAAAATCATAATGTTGGAATTTGCTTTCGACTGCCTTTCTCATGAGTTGCTGGTAAAGACGCTCGAGTTCCATTACATATGGTTTGGTTGATGATGGTCAATGCACTTTTGAATCATCGTTGGAAAAGTCTTACTCGAGTCTTTGTAGTTTTGTCATGTCACCACAGGACGGAAGCAATGTCGCCACTCCGAAACACTTGCCGAAAATATGTAGACGTTAAATAACTATTATCCCACGTCTCCTGTACTGTATATCATCTGGAATATGTGACTATACATAGATCTCATAGATATAATCATGTTTGTTAAACTTACTTACTCGATTGTGTACCTGAATGAAAACCTAGTATTTCCCATCCTTTAGAACAGCGTGTAAATATCTCATATGATTAATTTAAAGATTAAATCTTACCCGCTTGACGAACTTCTTCGTTGGCGTCTGCTTGTGCGATCGGAATCATAGAAACGTTTGAATAGTCGAAACTAATCAATGGAACGGTGTGGTAGTCATGTCCGGATGTTTAATAAGTTGTTAAATATCTACCAGAATTGTCACTATGCATTCTGGAGGAAATTGTAAGTTAATATGACGAGTGTGTTGAAATAAACAGATTATATTTAGCATAGATAAAATAATAAAAATAAAAAAATATGATGCTAAAGTTAATTACTCAAGCGGTTGAGTGTCGGAGTAAATACCGAAAGGTCGTTAGTTCGAACATATTTTGGGTGGGTGGGAAGAGGGGCGTCATTACTCTCTTCTACAGGAAATTGAGACGCTTCCTTGGATAACCGATCACGAGTTTTGTTGTCATTGGTGTCGAAGATTTCTTGGAGGAGCTGGACTGCAGTTTACTAGCATCGGCTAGTGGGAATTTCCCCATTTGGTCAAGCGACGAGATGTCTGGTAAGAGAGCGAAGAGTCGATAGTTCGAATCCCAGCTGGGGAAAGATAGTTTTTTAAATTTCTGATATGGTCCCAACCTGAACTATGTACAGACGGTCCAATAGCTATTTATGGATATATAGAGATCGGGATTTAACCATTTAGTTCCACATGGAAATGACGTGGTAACAGGTCTATATCGTCAGTGTTTCTCGTAATGACTATTCAAATAGATGAAAATTAATTCATGGCAATTTCACATCTATCTAAACAGCTTGTTGATTTCTTTGTTTAGTGGCTACTTCCAGTCCTACATGCACATGCCGTTCGGTTGTCGGCTAAATATTAAATGAAATGTCTATGATTTGTGAAATCCAATCTTGCTTCACCGCGTTCTGCAGTTAACGCCGATTTTAATGGTCATCTTGATGGGAAATACCCAGCGGAGTAATAATCATCTGTTTTACTGTGGAAACTCATCAAACAGGTAAATACACTGTACATCCTGAAGGATTACTTTCAGGACGAATGGAGTCATCATAGCCAAGTTCATTTAATACAAAGCACGCAACAGGTGTCCGTATTGACTGTTGTATGTCGTAGCTATGAAAACCTGTAAGTACAACTTAATAGGATGCATTTGAAAATTACCACTGACAAGAATGAAATTTGACCGAAACTAACATAGCATAAATATTTCCATCAAATCCTAAACTGCACTACACTTACAAAATACTTCCACAGACTGACATCGAATTTTATGAATAATCGTTGTCATAGTTCATCAAAATGTCACGCATGATGCGTCTAGAAAGCACGATTAATTAATCACACAAATGGTGCTAGGTGTAACATTATGCAGTGTATACAATACGTATACTGTCCTTGATCAATAATTTATGGAAAGTCAAAGTCGAAGTTTCCTAAATATGATTGTTTTTATTGTACATGTACAACAGTGCCAAGGTCATAAGAGTGTTTTGTCCAAAATTACACACATGGAATCTCTAGCTGGACTCACACAGAAACAATATATAAACTACGGGAAGATTTTATTGTCGTAAAAGTGATCTCATTGAGAAATACTCGATTTGTTTGATTCTCGATAGTTTGCCTCTTGGTTCCGTTGTTGTATACCTTGTTCTCAATTGAGAACGTGCCATTTACATGGCGGGTCTCGTCGATGAAGAAGACGCTTACTCTTCCGGGAAACCTGGTCTTGCTTTCCTTGTACTTTTCAGGAGTCTCCGTGTAAATTCCTATTTTGCCCCAATTTTGAACCGCCCAATAAATTCCAAAAGAACCAGCGGCAGTTGAAGATGCATGTTCCTAACGTAGTCTATACTTCACTACATTCCATCTTAATTTACATACTTTAGTTTTTTGAAAACGATGATGTTGGTTTAAGCCTGGTAGTTTTGAAGTTGTATAAACAGTTGTTTCCATTTTGACAACGTGACCTTACTGAGATTGACCTTTGAAACAGAAAACAAGTACACATTGGCCTGATTCTCCTGAATTTAGACGGTCGTTGTGTTTAGAATGCTTCTGGCGAAATATGACCTGTTAATTATTGTGATTCAGATAAAAATTTTATCATTTGACACCTCTATTATTGAAAGTGGAGCAAGGTTATTTATTTGAACGAAGTTGGCAGCCCTTCATGCCAGCATACTTCAGACACATTAATAACAGTTCGAAGGCATGATCTTCATTTTTACTGCAGGGATATGATCATCAAGTGACTTGAAAGACTTTTGTGAGTAGAAATAGTAATGTTGGTATGTAAAAGAAAAGACGAAGTTTTCATTAATGTATTGTTTTATTGGGAGTGAATTTGTGTCTTATAACTGACAACATTGATGCCTTCAAGGTCTCATACTTGTCCAACTCAGCTTTTACTAATCATAATCCTACAGGCATATGCTGATAGTATGACAGGCACACATTAGTACAACAGGTATACATTAGTACGACAGTATACACAGGTAGTACTACAGGTATACACAGGTAGTACTACAGGTATACACAGTTAGTACTACATGTATAGACAGGTAGTACTACAGGTATACACAGTTAGTACTACAGGTATACACAGGGTATACACAGGTAGTATTACAGGTATACAAAGAGTATACACAGGTAGTACTACAGGTATACACAGGGTATACACAGGTAGTACTACAGGTACACATTAGTACTACAGGTACACATTAGTACAACAGGTATACATTAGTACGCCAGTATACACAGGTAGTACTACAGGTATACACAGTTAGTACTACATGTATACACAGGTAGTACTACAGGTATACAAAGAGTATACACAGGTAGTACTACAGGTATACAAAGAGTATACACAGGTAGTACTACAGGTATACACAGGGTATACACAGGTAGTACTACAGGTACACATTAGTACTACAGGTACACATTAGTACAACAGGTATACATTAGTACGACAGTATACACAGGTAGTACTACAGGTATACATTAGTACAACAGGTATACATTAGTATGACAGTATACACAGGTAGTACTAAAGGTATACACAGTTAGTACTACAGGTATACACAGTTAGTACTACAGGGATACACAGGGTATCAAAGGTAGTACTACAGGTATACACACACAGTACTTTATACAAACCAAGGCAGTACTACATATAAGCATGTATAGTGCAACCTGACTGTGTCATTTTCACCTTTCATTACTATATTGATTTAAGGTAAGTCAACATTAAAATGCAGACCACAGATTGACTGATTACTCTACACACTTAATACACAGATTAACAGATGGTCACACCTTAGACTGAATGTAATCACAAATTAAATATCCCAGATACACTACAGTTCATTGTAATAGGTCATTTAGATTAAACTATAGCAAGTTAAACTACTACATATTTATCATAAGCAAAATACAATGGTATTTGATAACAAAATTCTTAACAGTACTAAAATATTGTAGTTACCATAAGTAATTAAAATTTTTGATTCATTTTAAAGAGAAATTACGGGGAGAATCTGTTTACAATTGATACACTACTACATGCTATTTCTATTCTT